TCTGAGACTTTCCAGTTTTTCACTCCCTAGGTGCAAAATATACTATATTTAAATATTAAGTCTCGATGATTCTAAAAATAATGGGGTTTCTTCTATATTTATAATTGCGAAAAACCGCAAAATATGAGTTATAAATTAAAGTTTTTATGATTGTAACACAAAAAAGTAGTGACATAAAATCATCTTGCACAAAAAATTATTAAATTGAGAAAATACTTATTAAAGAAATATGAACAAAATATGAAAATATATATTACATTATTGAATAAAGAAGCTACATGAGAAAAAACACTCTAGGCAATTATGCACAATTTCTCTATGAATAAGCATTGACATTACTGTCAGGTCAAATAAGTTTGCTATTGTACGGTGAAAATAACTCTAATGTAAACAATGCACGTGGTCACGCGATGTAGCATTGTTATTTGTTTATGTTTACTTGAAGTTCATGATATTTAACATTAATATTTAATAACTTAATTCAAATACTTCTCTAAAATAATTTCAGTATTTTACTATATTGTTCAACTTCAGTTTTCCTCCTCTACATAGAGTAATGCTCAGATGAATATGAGTTTTTCTACTCATTCCAGTATTGGCCTTAAATTTGCGATTTATTTTTATGTAACATTTGGAGTTTATGCAAACATTGAAAATGAATTTATAATCGATTATTTTGTATCAAAAAAAGTTTCGAGTGTTGTGGGGTTTTCCTGCGATCTTGAGAAAGGTATAACTTTTTTTTTAAAAACGAATTTTACTGAAATTATAAAATTTTTATTTTTCTAACATTATAAAACAGATAATATCATTTTCTATAAAAAGTTGAATGAAGCAGGAGTTAAAGTCGCATTATACAAATTAAAAACAAGATTTCAATACTCATTACTTCGGTCAGACTATTGTAAACTTGGAGTTTATATTGATCTTCGTTGCTACGATCATGATACTATTAGTTATTTCTTATCAGAGGTAAACGTACAATTATTAAATAATGTGACATTATTCAAAAATTTATGATACATTTTGAAGGCTGGAATATTTAAACTGTATGGAGAGTCTAATTGTTGGCTTATAACAGGATCAAATTTGGAAGAAGTACTAAAAGTAATTGACGACACAAATTATGGTACCTCAACCGACTTAGTAATCGCTGTGACTACAGCTTTTCCGAAAAAAATTCTTTTCTACGATGTATATAATCCCTGGAAAATCGGATTTGGAAATCTTAACTCGACATACTTTGGCTCCTGGGATGAAAAATCACGTTTAAATATTGAGTTGCAACAAACAAAATTTTCCCGACGATCAAATTTACATGGGATGACTTTAAAAACTGCCTATTTTGAAGTAATGTATTACAAGAAAATAGTATTATTTGAAATTTATTTTAAATAAATTTAAATCAATGAATGATATTTTAATTTATCAAATATTTAATGACAAAAATTTATTTTAGAGCGAATATAAACCTAAAAGCATGTTAATGGCTCAATACTTGCAAAACCCCGAGCGTAGCACCATTGATTCCTTTTCCAAGTTTGGGTACACTATTCTGATGTATGTATCGGAACAATTTAACTTTAGGTAAGCATTATCAAAATATTACATGAATGGATTTTCGAATTCCACTGATCCGAAAGATTATTTTATTATTTTAAATTTAGTTTAGACGTGAGTGTGATAGCTAAATGGAAAAAAGATGATACAGTTGGTCCGATGTCCCGGGCTCTAAGAAATAATGATATTGATATAAGTGGTAGTCCCATAATAATGAATGTTCCTAGACTAAAAATGGCCAAATATATTTATCCTTCCTGGCCTTTCAGGTAAATTTGATCTGATTATTAACGTTAGTTTATCCAATAAATCAATTTTTTTATTTTAATAATTTTTCAGAACATGCTTTATGTTTCGAAGTCCACAGCCACAAAATATCAAGTTTAATCAAATTTTGCGACCTTTTACCATTAATGTGTGGCACATGATAGGGACAGTTACGATTTTCTGTACAATAGTCTTATGTATAAGTCTGATGAACGAAAATTGTGATAAAATTATAACACTATATTCTAATTCGTATCTCATAACTATAGGTGTACTTTGCCAGCAAGGTATATTACATAAGTCTCTTGTTAACTTATCTCATTGATTCAATTTACAAAGAGACCTCTTGATCTCGGGACCTCGCTTTCATTGATTATATACTTTCGTTTTTCCTTTAATTTCTTGAACCAGAAAACAAATTTTCCCATAATATTTATACTATTTTAACTTATTTATTCACACACCGTATTGTTTATTAATTAAGTGTTAATAAATAGCAGTTATATTTATTTCTAAAATAGGTCTAAGGGCTCATGATATTCAAACGGAAAAATAAAGTAACATTTATTTTGTATAGACACCTTAGAAACGTATTGGTTTCCGTACGAGTTCCTGAGATCGAGATGGTCTTTTATAAACATGATAATGTATTCAAAGATAGAAAAGCAGTAATGACTTTTTTTTATACAAGCGACGGATTTTGAAATGAAAAGAATTTCAACTCGAATCGCTGTACTCTTCATTTGGATATTTAGTATTTTGATATACAATTACTACTCAACGAGCATCGTATCCGTCCGTTTAAACGAACCCGTTTACAAACTCAATGATTCTTTGAATGAGTTGGCAAAAACTGGATTGAAAGTAGCTTCAGAACCTTTAATTTATTTTGATTTTTTCATAAAAGTTGAGAATAATTGACATTCTGACAAGGGAAATACTCATTTTTAAAACATAATACTATTCAAACAGGATAAAAAGTGGGAGACACAAATGTTCTATACCAAACGATGGTTATCAACACCTGATGGTGAAAAATTCATCCATCCAGAGAGGGGTATGGAACAAGTTCGTCGGGGAGACTTGGCCTATCACGCACACCCTGACGTCGGTTATCCTTATGTCAACAAATTTTTTAGCAATAGAGAGATTTGCGAATTTACTGAGATTCATCTGGCTCGCTTGACGCATGCAACTATGGCCTTGACTTACAATAGTACTTTTGTTGATATGATGAAAATCGGGTACTATTTTTAACTGTTATATAATTTAATTATTCATAAACTTAAATATCAAATAATTATTTAGATTTGCAAGACTATCCGAGTTTGGCCTGAAAAATCGTCAAATCGATCGACTAACTTCTAAGAGACCACAGTGCCGTCAAGATATTCTCACTTCATCAGTAGTTAGTTTAAACGAGTTTGCGCCAATTATTTTCATTTTATTGTGTGGATACACTGTTTCCGCGATCATGTGTATAATAGAAATTAACATGTTTTATAAAAAAACGTAGAGAAAATTGAGGAAATAATTGCTTAACTTAAAATAAAACAATAAATTTAAAGTAATGAAAGTTAAATTTTAATCAAAGTTTTATAAGCGTACAAGAGAGTCAGTAATGTACACATCCATCAAGTTCAGAGCAATGGTAATTCATGTTAAAGTGGCCGTAATGTGAGTCCTTTCGACACGCCAATTCCGGTGAATATCCATATACATCACTGCACCATATTTTCTGTTGAAAAAACACTGAACATAGAAATTGAAAGTTTTTCTTTCATTAAAAAGATGCTGCAACTTAATTTTTTTCTGATCGAACACTACAAATGAATTGTTTCATAACTTTATTTATAGGTTGATTTTCTTAAAACCATATGGTGGAGTTCTTTGCATTGATATATTGAAGAACTGTACCTTTCAGTCGATTTCATTCAGTAGTTTTTACAGAAAACAGGATCAAAATTTTTATTTCCCGTTTTCAGGAGTAAGGGCCGAGAGTTAACTCACTCCCCTCTACTGTTTACACTTAGCACGGGCGAGTAGCACTCGGCGCACATGCCTTTGAAACATCCATTTAGTGTCGTGTATCTCTGTTTCTCTAGCGTTTTCTACAGCATCGTGCCTCAACTGTTTGAGCTTATTATTTTTCTCGAATGAAGCATGACATCATGTTATCGTGTAAAATTTGACAAGGAATCTGAAAATTGAATTATTACCAACCATACCTCCGAGAAAATCGTAAAAACCGGTAAATAAAGTGTTTTTCGTTCGTATCTCGCGATCCAAACATACGAGGATAATAATTACACCATTCGATTTCTGAGGAAATTTTACATCGTTAGCCACTAAAGAATTCTCAAATATTAGTGCAAAATTCTTTCTGATCAATCCGGTTGTAGCAAAAATATATGTGACATTTCAGGTCAACTGGCCCACCACTGAGTCCAAAAATGAAAGCTATTTAATAATTTCTAAAAGTAAAGGCAACGATTTAATAATTTTTAAAAAGCCTCATAGTCTCAGTAGGTAAGTAAAATCTAATAAAAACCAATGTGTTCATTATACATTTCTTTAGTTATACAGTTATTATTATACTTTATAAATCTTTCATTTTCACATTGCAGCTGTGTACTTTTCTTCATGTTTAAACTTTTTTGTGGTAAGTTTAGGTAAGATATTTTATCAAATCTAGCCTTGATGTTGATGACTAAATAGCTAAAATGGTTTGCGTGCAAAGATTTAACGCAGCAGTATATATTGCATGTACAAATTAATATGTATTTGAAAGCGAAAATATGTATTGATATAATACGATTTGATAAAACGCAAGAAAGGTTTAATTATGGTTGATAAAATATTTCTATCCAAAACAATCAATCAAAGTATCCGTATATTGAAATTCTATTTGCAGTCAATTAGAATAACAAAGAAGGAATGTATTTTCTTACAATTACTCTTTCATTTTGGTTTAGCTTTTGCAGTATCATTTATTATGAGAAATGTTTTTAAAAGTATTAACGAATTTCCGTTTTATAAAGTCCAAGTTAATATTAATAATGTACATTCTGACAAAAATTCGGGGCACTGCAGATGAAAATTTTATTATTGATTATTTTATGAGTAAAAATATATCGGATATTATTAGCTTTAATTGTGATAACCAAACAAGTGAGAATATAGCCAGCCACGAAGTTGTTCATAGCAAGTAACAAAAAAATATTTTACAGAAAGTATCATCACAATCAAAAAGTTTAACGAAAATGGAATGAGAGTGGCACTTATAAATTTAAATGACATATTAGAAACAAAAGAACTAGTTCAGGCAAATTATTGGAAATTAGGAGTTTTTGTTGATTTACGCTGTAGTGAAATTGACCAAGTTAGCTTACTATTTACGGAAGTGAGTTAATTGCGATTATTAAATTGGCAAGAAAGAGCGCTTTTGATTAATTAATTTCTATACGGTTTATAGGCTTCAAAATTACAAGCTTATAATGAACTGCATTATTGGCTAATATTGTCCCCAAATTTTCAAACAGCCATGGATATCGTAAATGATTACAGTTTTGGTACGTCGACAGATTACGTAGTAGCCTTACCGATGCCAGAAGGTTTTAATCTTTTCGACCTCTATAACCCATGGAAAGAAGGAGGAGGGAAGATAAATGTCACACATATGGGCGTGTGGAAACAAAAATCTGGCCTCAACGTCAGCTTAACCCAAAGCAAAGTATGGAGACGAGCTAATTTCCATGGAATTCCAATGAGAGCTTCATTCTTTGGAGTAAGCACATAAAAAAGTTTAATCAATCTTTTTTTCACAAAATTAGCATGATTTCATATCGTTTTACAGAGCAAATATAGGAAAAAAATTAATTTGAGTTTGGAAACTTATCTACAAGATTACAGCACATTATCAAAGGACGGACTGTCAAAATTTGGTTTCAGTATTTTAGAATATTTAGGTGATATGCTTAATATAAGGTAAATAATATTTATCAGTTTAATATTTATATTGGTCAATGGTATTTTCAACTATTAAAATTTTTTCAAGTTATTCGTTAGTTTTCAGTTCTCTGAGGTGCAAACCTGGAGAAAAGGGGACATTATCGGTCCATTGTCACGGGCTTTGATAAACAATCAAATTCAGCTAACTGGCAGTCCCGTGGTAATGACACCTGAAAGAGTCGGAAAAGTTAAATTTGTTTATCCAACATGGCCTTTTCGGTAAATAAGTTTTTATTTTAATAAAATATTAACTTCGAAATATTTTACTAACTCAAATGATGCAGAACATGCTTCATTTTTCGAAATCCTCAACCTCGAGACATTAAGATTCAAGAAGTACTTAGACCTTTTGCAATTGAAAGTTGGTATTTAACTCTCATGTTCGTGCTTTTGTCGATGATGGTTTTAGCATTTGCTTTTCGGTACGAAAGAAAAGAGATATCGAATACTTCGTATTCTAATTCTTTTATAGTGGTTGCCGGTACCTTTTGTCAGCAAGGTGAGTTACATTTGTAAATCCAGTAATCGTTTTTTTATTAAATTAGCCGTATGCAATGCGCTTCATAGCTATGAAAATTTATTCTTGATTAGGAAATTCCGAACAAGTTTATTAATGATATAATTATAACACATTGTGTAATGTTTATATTAATATGTAATTTTAAATTGCATTCAACTAAACATCTCTATATCAATACAATTTTTAACCATCCAATTATTCATTTAAATTTGACCCAAAAATATGGAAAGTAATTCTCATGATCTAACTTGTGATTGCATATCAACTTAGATTTTCGAAACACAACTTTACATCGCTTGATTAAATGAATTTTGATTTAAAGTAAAAATTAAATTCGATGTTGCCTAAAAAATATGTAAGTTTTCATTTATTGCTGGCAAATCACAACAAAATCACACTTGTGCTACTGCAAATCAAAATTATAACTCATGTTTCTTTGTCAACGAAAACAATCGCTTCTAAAACAGAGTCAACAGTACAGTACTATAAAGAACGTTGTAAGCCAAAATTGCGTTAACTCAATTGTAATTTTTTCGCTACAAATGGTTTGATAATTTACACCGCGTTTTTTCAAAGTGATGGTCTACGATGCGAATGTAAAAGTGATTGATTTTTGACACTGTCATCTTTTTAGATATTCTTATTATTAAATAACTCATAATATTATTGTCTCGCATACGTAATTTATGTATATTATGAATATAGTTCGTATTTTCGTAACTGTCCAAGCGTTCTGCTGCGTGACATTATTTAGCGCAATCACTTAATTTCTATCTTGTGGTAAAAAAACCCAAAACATATCTGAAAAAATATTGTTACCCGCGTTTTCGATAGGCAATTTCCTTAGCTTTTTCAAAATGGGGTCAGATTTCTCAAAAATGTTTATTTTCACCCTCAAAATCACTTTAAAACATTCACGACTCAATATTCGTAAACGCGCAAATTTTTTACTTTTTTATTGTTTGAATCGCAATAAAAGCACATTTTTTCTTTTGAAAAAGCTGTCTTAACGAATAAACTACTTATGATTTTTTAAAAAGATTATATGCTGAAAAAGTATGTTTTTCAGGCACAAATATATCAATGGACAGAGATGTTACAAGAATTGTTTTCATTCACATACTTTTATTTTCTTTTCTGACTTACACGTATTACTCAGCGAGTATTGTATCGGCTCGTTTAAACGAACCAATTGTGAAAATTAATGATTCCCTCAATGAATTATCCAAAACGGATCTTCAAATGGCTACAGAGCCTATGATATATTTTGAATTTCTCCTAAAAAGATTGCCACCTTGGGAAAAAGAATTTTTTTATAAACAGCGTTGGCTGCGTGTACCAGAAGATAAGAAGTTCATGTTTCCCGAAGACGCCATACCTTTTGTTCAGAAAGGTGGATTTGCTTATCATACTCATCCTGATATCAGCTACCCAATAATCGATAGAACTTTTAGTTTTCGGGAAATTTGCGAGCTTATGGAAGTACACATTGCCCATCCAGTTTTTGCCACACTTGCTGCGACTAGTAATTGTACATTTTTGGAAGTGGCCAAAGTAAGGTAAAGTTTCAATAGTAGGATTTTTTCTTTCAAAACATACATTTAAATTTATCATTACATTCTGAAAATCGTTCAAGTTTTGCAAAAATGACTGAAGTTGGCGTTCGACATCGTCAAGTGATAAGATGGACGTCAAGAAAACCGAAATGCCGCAAAGATGTGATTAATGTGTCCAGTACAGATATTTATGAGTTTGCACCGCATTTGATTATACTAGTATTAGGAATGTTATTAGCGATGATGATTTTTACGTTCGAAATTTTTATGGACAGAATTATGAATCATCAAAATTCCAATAATATTTTTTGGTTTTATGGAGTTTTTGGTTTTAAACAGTCGCAAAGAAATATTTTTGCACATCATTATAAATAAATAGAGAATCAAAAGTCGTTTCATCATTAGCATAAAAATGACAAAAAATATGATTGTTCTTACGGCAATATTCAATATTTGACTAGATATACAAGGTTAATACTTCTTTTCCAATAGATAATTTATAAAATATCGACGGAAACTAGTTTCTTATCACGCAATCCTATTATCTGTCAATATTATGTCTTACTTTTGTTCAACATGAACATGTTCTTATAAAATTGTCACGGATACACTCAACGTTATAAAGATTAAAGACATATATTATTAATCACGTTTATTAAAGATATATATTATTTATCACATATATAATATACACATAAGAAATGATTGCCCTTGAAGTATTCTTACTTATTTTAATAGTTAATACTCAAGTTGAATCATCAAGTGAATTTATTGTTGATTATTTTGTTTTAAAAAAAATATCAAGTGTAGTAGGTTTTACATGCAATTCCCTTGAAGGTAAGCAATTCAAGGTCAAATCCATACCTAATTAAAATTTAATTCGTCATTTCCTTATAGACGATTTTTCGTTAGTGAAACAATTCACCAAAAACGGTATTGGAACTGCAGTACAAAAATTAAATAAAAACTACAAAGTAGACATTATATCAACTAGTAATTGGAAATTGGGTATATTTATTGATTCACAGTGTCATGATACTCAAAATATTGAGCTCTTATTCTCTAAGGCAATTTTATACTGAAAAATGATACAAAATTACGAGAAAAATATATTTGTGATCGCTTATGAATTTTAGGCTACTGATTTAAGACTTTATGATTTCTTGAATTACTGGCTCGTACTCAGTTCTGATCTCAATCATACGTTAAGCCTCATTGATGATACAGCTTTTGGGATTTCAACCGATTTCGTGATTGCAGTATCTTCGAACAGTTTTACCGTAAATTAAATTCCATTTATCATTGATTTTATTAATATTTTTAGTGATAGTTAGTCATTGACCTACATACGTCGTTACTAATACAATAAAAATAAAGTTGAAAAAAGTAGCATAGTTATATAGTAGTATAGTTTATCTTTGCGGAGAAAAACTATTTTTTTACAAAAATATTTATAATTTAACAACTATAAAAATTATATAAAATTATTTTTTGCAATGTCAGTCAATGACTGAGTTCATTGCGATACTAGCAAAGAAATGTGTAATTTATGCAACTTATGAGTTAGGGTGATAATTACAATCTGTATGATGTGTACAACATCTGGAAAGATCGTGGAGCCTCTTTAAACATTTCATATCTAGGCTGGTGGAATAAAGATAGACATTTTTATTTGGATAGTTCCTTTGACTCTTCAAAGTATGCTAAAAGAGCTGATTTATTAGGATTGACAATGAAAATGACTTATTATTCAGTGAGTAACTTAAGAAATTATCGATTTTGAGTTTCTTAAATTACTCAGCTCACTTCTTGAATACTTACACGTAACAGTGCAAATATAAACCATCAAATATGGCATTAGAAGACTATTATAAGATGTACTCAATCGTGCCTCGAGATAATATATCCAAGTTTGGATTTAATCTGATTCTTCATCTTTCAGAAATGTATAATTTCAAGTATGTTGCTGCTAATAAGCTTAAATTGTACTATAAGTTTTATTATATCAGATAATGTATAAATTGTATATAATTCTAAACAGATCAGAACATACTGTTGTTACTAAATGGCCAACAGATGATGTCGTTGTTGGACCTATTATTCGAGCAGTAGCTACAAAACAAGCTGATATTACCGGAAGTCCAATAATCATGAATGCAAAGCGTACTGGTTTGGCCAGATATGTACACCAATCCTTTCCATTCAGGTAATTATAGTATGAAAATGATCAAGTTGTATTTATGTAATTGTTGAGATGTCTGTATAGGTGCAATTTAAACTTATAGGACGTGTTTCATATTACGCAGTCCTCAACACAAAAGTATAAGAGTCAACGAAGTTTTGGGTCCTTTAGAGTCGGCTGTATGGTATTTAACTGGAACTTTTATGATCATGAGTAGTTGCATGATGGCTGCACTTTTTCGCAATGAAAATCCAATGTATAGTCTCGAACGCTACTCTAACTCTGTTATACTGGTTGTGGGATCTCTCTGCCAACAAAGTAAATACATCAAACTATTAACTCTATTTTTTCCCCTCAATCGTAACTGTATCGACTAAAGCCTATTTAAACCTTTTAAAGGTTGTACCATTCAGATGGATAAAGTTCCAACACGCATTGCCTTTCTAACCATTATGATATTTAGCTTTCTTCTGTACAATTATTATTCAGCAGGAGTCGTTTCGTCGCGGCTCAACGATCCTATTCACAAGATTAACGATTCGCTCACTGAACTCGGCAAACTCAATACAAAATTATCCTCGGATTATATGGTTTACTTCGATTTATTCATAAAAGTAAAGTTTTCGAGAAAAAATGTTATCTTATGACAGCGCTCCAACGATCCAAACAATATTCGTTTTTTTTTTACAAATAGAAACCAGATAAAGAAATCAGAGCGTTTTACAATACCAGTTGGTCAAAGCTCAAAGAGCAAGATCGCTTCATGGAGCCCGACAAAGCTGTGCGCTTAGTGCAGGACGGTAGCTTGGCTTATCACGCTCATCCAGAAACTGTCTATCCATATGTGGATAAACTTTTCGAGAATCGTGAAATATGCGAATTGACCGAGGTTCATTTGCAAAAAAAAACACTTTCAACGTTTGCCGTTGGAAAAAATTGTTCTTTCACTGAAATGATAAAAATAGGGTAATTATTGTCGTAATGACGTGAGTCTTTAAAAATTATTATTAAACAACTTTGAACTTATGTTAACTAGGTTTACGAAACTTTCCGACGTAGGCATACGTAAACGGAATGTTTTAAGATTCACTTCTCGCAGACCACTTTGCTTTCGAAATATTCTCAGCTCAGCAAGTATCAACATGGAGGAATTTGCTCCACACTTGCTTCTTCTATTGATTGGTTTGACTGTAACAGTAATAATATTTTTTTTTGAAATTATAATCTACAGATACTCAAATTGAATGAGTTCTCGTTGGATGCACATATGAAAGACAAAAATGGTGGCTAAACTTTTGTTGTTTGAAATTATTTACGAGTGTAGTATTATGAGTTTAATGATCAATAAAATCTGCAAAACAAATCGTGCGAATTCATAGATTTTCTGATGTGAAGATTAACAACATGCGATATCAAAATTTCATAAGTCTTCGATCGAGTTGACTTCTATCGCTTGATGTGGAAGTAAAATTGTTGCGTCCTTTTTTACAAAAAACGATCGTTTCGATTAAACGGCATAAATCACATTGTTTGAATTATAAAACACATAAACTAAATTCATTTTAACAGCTTCAAGTAATGCGAGTTAATATAAAAAGCAAAAGATTTCGTTTAATAGTGCTTAAATCATATGATAATATAAAATGAAATTATTATTTTTCCATTTGCTTTTGTTATTTGAAAACATAATGACAGACTTGAATACCAACTTTATTTTTGATTATTTTAATTATAAAAATGCACCGAGCATTGTTGGATATTCTTGCAGTTCTATCGAAAGTAATTCTTTTTTAAAAATACTAAATGTTTCTTATCATTTTTTTTCTTCTACAACGATATTTTGTACTTGCAGATAATATTTATTTGATCAAAACTCTGAATCAACGTGGAATTTCTATTTCACTCACGAGTACTAATAGTTTGCACGAAATACATAGATCGGCTTCAACTGAAAATTGGAAATTAGGCGTTTTTCTAGACCTAAGGTGTTTAGAACAATCAACTATTCTTGGAATATTTTCAGAAGTAAGTTGGATATGATTGCACGAATTCCTCACATCGTTCAATATATTATAATTATGATTAGGCAGCAGTAAATCGTATGTATGGAAATCTTCATTACTGGCTTATAATAAGTCAAAATTTAGATGCCGCGGCAGCGTGGATTGATAATTATTCACTAAGCATTAGCACTGATCTCGTCATTGCTGTTCCTTCAAATAATAATTCGGTAAATATGATGAATTTTAATGACTGGAAACATAAATGAAAATATATTTTGAAGGCAGAGGGCTTTATACTCTATGATGTTTATAACATCTGGAAAGAAAGAGGTGGAAATTTGAGCGTAAATTTTTTTGGATTTTGGAACTCAAGTGGCAAAATAACAATTCATTCTCAGAACAGTAAAATATTAAAACGAGCTAATTATCAAAAATTGAAATTGAAAATATCATTTTTTTCGGTATGATTTGAAATATTCTATAAAAAAACACAACAGTACTAAACTAATTTTTGTTTCTTCAGAGCAAATATAAACCTCCAAATATGACGTTCGAAGATTATTTACAGGATTATTCAAGTTCCCCTAAAGATGGACTGTCAAAATTTGGTTTTAATTTGATAAAGCATCTTACGGATCTATACAATTTCTCGTAAATTTAAATGTTTCTACGCTATTATCTGATTGCATCGTTATATTTATGTGATTAAATTTTAGATTAGTTAGCGGAGATATAGGTAAATGGGAAGTTGGAGATAAGTACGGTCCTATCTTGAGAGCATTGAGCAAAGACCAAATAGATCTTACTGGGAGTCCAGCCACGATGAATGTCAAAAGAACGTATCTAGTGAAATACATATTTCCAGCTTGGCCTTTTAGGTAGTTATATAATTCTAAATTCTCGTCACGGTAATGTATGCTGCCATTTTTGCAATAATTTTTACTTCAGAACCTGTTTTATATTTCGTAATCCTCAACGTAAAAACATAGCTATTAATGAGATCCTTGGACCTCTAGCCACTGATACCTGGTCCTTGAGTCTAGTAATTTTTCTATTAAGCGCTTGGATTTTAGCAACTGTTTTTAAATACGAAAATATAAATAGTACAATTATGAGATATTCAGAGTCAATTGTCGTTATAATTGGCGCTCTATGCCAACAAGGTAACAAGTATATTGTTTTCAACAATGATTTAATTAAATGAATTTTTAATACCACAGGTACGGAAGTTCCAATGAAACATATATCTACCCGGATTGCCTTTTTTCACATCATGATGTTTAGCTATCTCTTTTACAATTATTATTCAGCAAGCATAGTTTCTGCGCGTTTAAATGAACCAATTTTTAAAATTAATGATTCACTAAACGAGCTTTCAAAGTTGAATATGAAATTAGCATCTGAGTGGATGGTTTATTTCGAGCTATTTATTAAAGTACAAATAGATTCTCTCCGCATTTCTAAGAGATTTTATGGAATTTATTGATGGTTTTTCATTGCGAATACAGAAAATGGATTGGGATGTTCAAACATTCTACAACAAAACTTGGTCAACCATTCCAGAAGCTGAACAGTTTATGTTACCAGAAAAAGCAATGCACATGGTACAAAATGGTGGTTTTGCATATCACGCTCATCCAGACGTAAGCTATCCATTCGTCCATCGATTTTTCAGCAATAAGGAAATTTGTGAACTTATGGAAGTTCATCTTGCACAACCCACTTTTTCAACTTTTGCCGTTAGCCGTAATAGCACATTAACGGAAATTTTAAAAATCGGGTAATTTACAACGCAATAGTTGAACTTTACTTAGTTTGCATATAATAAATATTATTAAACAATTTTAGATTCGTTAGATTATCTGAAGTAGGTTTACGAAAACGGCAACATTTAAGATGGACATCCATACGACCTCGTTGTCAAAAATCAATTTTAAATGCGTCTAGTATAAATATTTACGAATTTGCTCCTCATTTAATCATTTTATTATTGGGTATGGCATTTGCGTTTGGTATATTAATAATTGAAAAAGTTGTATACAGTTTTAAAAACGTACAATAATTTGAAATGTTACTTTCCAAAATAAAAAATAATAAAACCGACTTAACTTTTAAATAATTGTTTATAAAAATAAAATCATTTGTCTACTTTGTTGTATTTTTAATATTTTTAATTCATACCTCACTTCTTAAAATAAAAATGTTTATGTTCTCAATATTCAAAATTAGCGTTTTCATTTTTGAGAGCATGCTTGAAAGTGATACCTCCAAAATTACAAGCATAATTTTTTCTTTAGACAGTAGGGGAGAATGGGTAATTGCGGAGCGCTCATAATAAATTTATGATCCCCTTGTCAATATCACATGTATGATAGTTCAAATTAAACCTGAAGTTACAATCTTTCGATTAAAATTCTTTTTTTTACAAAATAATTATTTTCATCCAAATTGAACTGAAACAATTCGTAACGTTGCACCGCAATTGGATAACCTGCGTCTTTTGTGGCGCATATCTCGTTCGATTATGGCGCAGTATAATGTTAGTATGAAATGCAAAAACACATGTGCTTGGCAATTGTGGCGCATCATATTTTACTCAAATTATTCGAATAAACAAGCTAATGATTTAGGTTATGTAGATCACACATTTGTTATTGTGCTTATTGTGGCGCGGGTAATGTAGACCTCAATTGGAAATTAAATGATAATCAGCGCCCTCTGTAAATTCAATGTGGCCGTCCCATAAGAACCTACGAGTCACCCGAAAATTGTTTTAGTCGAGTTTCGGGTGGCTCGAAGGTTCTTATGGGACGGCCGCATTGAATATACAAAGGGCGCTGATTATCGTTTAATCCCCAATACATGTACTACTTGGGCGCCATAATCGGCCGCTAGAATACGCCATATTAGGAAAAAAACAATAACTTCTTAATTTGTAAATTACTCAAATAATAATTGATAAATCGTTAAAAATAAAGCATCATGTTAAAGTAGAGCACAAATACTTCTTTTCCATCATAGTATTAGCCACTTCCGAGCAGTAAACTCTTCGTATCATTAAGTTTTGAGACTCGCAGTATTACTATTTGACAACATCATTAATTACATTAATTGTAGTTAATTGTTAATTGTATTTTTTAACAATTTTTTTTGCATAAATTAGATAAGTGTTCTGCATAGAATATTGTTGTTGAATTTCAGTTTAAACAAATATTTCTAATTATGCTAAATAGACGTGAGCCACAATAGTACACGCACCGCAATAGGTGATTCTCCCCTATCTACTTGGCATTTAAAATAATCGATGTAAATTAGCCTAAAAGTAAAAAAAAAACGGTTTTTTTCCTCGCCTAGACGAAACGAAAAATTTATTATCCAAAAAAATATTCTCTGAAAAATTTGAACCTTTTAGAATCCTCGCTACTAATTGAAATGGCCATGTAAATTTTTTCAAAGTCATTAAATTAAATTTAAAAAAAATTTATGTATTTTGATTAATTCGAAAATTTTTTCGTGCTTTGCCATCTTTTCACCTTGAGAAAATAGGCAGAGAACAGAAAAATTTTAACATTCAATAAATACGTATGAATTTTTCAAGATTTTTAAAGGACTTTTTGGAATTTTTAAGGACCCAAATTTATTATAGATAATTTTTTTCATGATAATAACTTTTTCAAGCTTAGAAGACTATGACAACCTTTATTTTGATGTTTTTAAGGTTGCAATACAGCCTTTCAGAAAAAAATTTAGTAGAAGATTCAAAAACTGAAATTAAAATTTTGATTTCTGGGCTGATTTCGATATGAGAGCGCACAGTCTAAATGGGCTTTGCAAAGCGTCATATTTAGCCGTCCTTTGATTTTTATTATGCTATACTATAAAAGTGGTGAGGTTTTTAGCGTGAGCAGTTTATAATCGCTATGATCGGTCGTTCAGTAGCTTGCAATTGTTTATTGGCGCGCCAATACATTGTTGTAGAAAGTTAAGAAAGTGGAATGTTAACCTAATGATGTCTTAAGACTAATTTTAATTGATTTCCTCGAAGGGAAGCTGAGGCGAAAAGCTGACCCATTGCGTATTTTTACAGTTTATAACATAATCTTCGTTTATTTTATTTTTCTATTTTAAATATTGAAAAATGGCAAAATGAAATAAGAAAAGAAGAAAGCGCGCGCTGAAAGTCAGGCTAGTTTTTATTATACAGGGTGCATAAGTAGCGCCATGCAGAATTGAGATCTGAAGTGGCATCTTGCTGCTATGAGCTGAAAGTAGCACTTCATTGCGTTGCTCTGCAACAGCAATATAGTCCAGTCCAGTTAGATCTGACTCTATGTTAAAAGTGAAAAAATTCGCAACCGGCGTTTCTCACCGGGATTCGTTAGGGTTCGATGGTAGAAATGAAGTCATAACAAATGCCACAGTTGAGTCGATTGGAATTTCAACAATTGGGCCCTTTGAAATTAGGAAAATCGGTTTTTCGGCTACAGATTGAAAACCGTACATTTTATGAAAAAAAGTTTCAAACAAAAGTTGTAGGTCCTTGCAAGACCTTCAATTTGACATATATGTCAAATTAAAAATTAGGTCTTGCAAGGACCTACAACTTTTGTTTGAAACTTTTTTTCATAAAATGTACGGTTTTCAATCTGTAGTCGAAAAACCGATTTTCCTAATTTCAAAGGGCCCAATTGTTGAAATTCCAATCGACTCAATTGTGGCATTTGTTATTACTTCATTCCTACCATCGAATCCTAACGAATCCCGGTGAGAAACGCTGGTTGCGAATTTTTTCACGTTCAAAACTAATTTGACTGGACTAATATTATGTTGCTAAGAAGTGTTGATACATGATCATAAAAAGATACAGATACGTATTTCTACATGAATAAATCGATTGGATCCACCATGTAGATTTTAAAAAATCATTTGATAGGTATTTTATTGTTTTTCAATTAATGCACGGAACGTATGTTACATTATAACAAGGAGCATGACGTTACGTTAATTTTAAAAATGTTGTACCTTTTGTAACTTGCTTAAAATGCGCGCGAAGCACGACAAGCGATAGCTAGTATTATATAAATTAATTTACATTTAACATATTGATGTACTGTCATTTACCATTTCAAGATATAGGTGTCATTATCGATAATTATGACGTTTACGTTTAACAGGTATTGCCCTTGACCTTGAAGAGAAAGACGGTCGTTCATTTTTTATTATGCATAAAATTGTAAGAATATTTTTTGTAAGGTTGAAAATCAGTTCAATTAGTTTGTAGAAATCGATTGTATTCGATTCTCAGCTGTTCATGTGAATAAGAAATAAAGACGAAATTTCCAGGCGATACAATTGGAACATTGAAATTCACTATCTCAGTGCATTTCTGCAGTCTTCATGATCAGTATAGAAAATTAATATGATGAGAAAAATTAATCTTTTATAATGTTATTGCATGTCCATTGGAACTTTTGGAAAAAGTATGATTATCGAGCTTTTGTTTATGTTTGCATTACTTGCAATTATTTGTGCAGACACAACAAACGATTTCGTAATCGATTTTTTCTCTTATAAAAATGTCTCACATGTCGTTGGCTTCTCATGCAATTTGCTGGAAGGTAACTGCTATTGGTTCTTGCTTACTTATTATTAGATATACTTTGCTCCATACTTTTATGTTTAGTTATCATAAATTTTAATTGTTTTACATCATGTAGATAATGCATATTTGTTGAAGAGATTCAATGAAAAAAACATCGCAGTTTCTCTAAAAATTTTGGATGAAAAAACTGTAATAGATCTTATAGCTCATACTAACTACTGGAAACTTGGTATTTTAATAGATGTTCGCTGCTACGTCGATGATTTGGTAACTTCGCTATTTGTTAAAGTAAACTGAATCTTCTGACGATAAAACTATAATGCCAATCTGAAAACTTTAATTAAGATGTGAAAATTGTAGGCAGCAGATTCTCGACTGTTTGACGAACTGCGGTATTGGCTCATACTCAGCCATGACATGTCGGATGTTTTACGCACTTTAGATGACACCAGCTTTGGCATATCCACAAATCTTGTCATCGCCGTAACGTCTTTTGACGGAAGTGGTTATGAGCTATACGACGTTTACAACCTATTCAAGGATCGAAACGAAAACACAAGAATCATGTTTTATGGTAATTGGTATGAAAAAGGTGGGCTCCACGTCGTACGTTCGTTACAAAATAAGATTGCCAGGCGATCGAATTTAAATCACGTCGACCAAAGGGCTATGTTTTACAAGGTGATAAGGTGAAGTTTAGAAGTTTTATTATTGAAAATAGTATACAATTTTTTTACAGTGTGCACATAAGCCACCCGAAATGCTGTTAGAAGATTATTTGGATGATTTCACACACAGAACTTGGGATGCCAGAGCTAAATTTTCTTTCAATATATTGAGGCATCTCTCTGATCTTTATAATTTTACGTAAGCAGTTTACTTTTTTTTCGTTCAAAAGTCATGTAACATTTATTTTTTAGTTCATCCTTCATTTTTCAGTTTATCAATTACTGAATCTGAAAAGTGGCCAGAAGGAGATAGACTCGGACCGATGCTTCGAGCATTGATTAACAAAACGATAGATTTTACGGGTACAACATTGACCATGGACATACAGAGAACGTACCTCATGAAATTTGTGCATCAAGATTGGCCATTTAGAACTTGCTTTATATTCCGAAATCCGCAGCCAAAAAATTTAAAAGTTGGGGAATTGCTACGACCTTTGAGCATGAAAACTTGGGTGCTAACGGGAATAACCTTGTTTGCATTCGTTTATTTTCTCGCGTTACTACTGCGTTACGAAACAAGCGATCGCACCTGGATTAATTATTCAAATTCAATTCTTTCGGTCATCGGTGCTCTTTGCCAACAAAGTGAGTTTGTATGTACCTGGAGATTTTAAAATTTTGCAAATTGATCAATTCGGTTTAACAAGTTGAACGTGACGTTATAACATGTATATGTATCGATATATATGGGTGATTATGAAAAAAAGAAAATTGTCTGTCCTAGACTGCACAAGCCGTTGGCAGCTGAACTTGATCTTTTATGATCATTATAACGCATGAAACTCAGCGCTATAACGATTTTTCGGCCAACATGGGCATTTCAAAAATTATATATGATGAACATTTAGAAAATTAATAGTTAGGCACTTTAAAGTTTTATTATTCAGAAAAAAACTGTTAATATTATTAATGTTCTTTTATGTAACGTTTCCAATAACAATTTCTTTAAAATAGTAAATAGTAGTTATGAAAAATCAGCATGATAGAGATAAAATATTCTCTTTACTCATTTTAATTAACATATTGGAACGATTCATAAAATGATTCCTTAAATATATAAAAGAGTAAATTATATGCAGAATATATAAAAACTGCAATCTTAGACGGTCGAATTCAACCGACAACGGTCTATGTAGCACACAATCATTTTTTGATAATCTCTTACGTATTGATGATTTTTTTCAACAAAAAACAGGTACAAATGTGCACTTGAATCATCCATCAACACGCATAGTGTACTTATTTCTTATGGTATTCAGCCTCCTTATGTACAATTATTATTCTGCAAGTATCGTGTCAGTCAGATTAAATGAGCCAATTTTTAAAATTAAAAATTCCCTTTTTGAAATGACAAACTTAAATTTGAAAATGTCATCAGAGTGGATGAGTTATTTGCAGTATTTTTTAGAGGTAAATTATAATTAATAATACTTTATGCTACTGAATAATTTATTATTTTCATAATTTAGCACGGTGATGTTGAAGTTAAAAAATTTGTAAGTAATAAATGGTCGCAAATACCGGAGAAGCAGCGTTATGTCGAGCCTGATCAGGCACTGTTGATGGTTCAGAAAGGCGGATACGCTTATCATACGCACCCAGAGGTGGCATATGCTTATATAGATAAGTTATACACGCATAGAGAGAATTGCGAATTAATGGAGGTAGATCTTGCTAGGCCACATTATACCGCATTCGCTGTGACGTTCAACAGTTCTATAGAAGAATTAGCAAGGATTGGGTAACTTATCACCGAATTTTATATCACTCGTAATTTTGTTCTGAATGGAAATCATTTTTTTCCTTCATTTTTGAACCTGCAGCTTGACAAAAATTACCGAAGTTGGACTGAGAAATCGACAGCTGTCCAAATGGGTGTACAAAAAGCCACCCTGTCGCAACGACATTTTAAGCGCAACGAGTATAAACATATACGAATTCGCGCCACACCTGCTACTTCTGGTCATTGGTATGATGTCAAGCGTTTGGATATTCACGCTTGAAAAGCTCTTATCGTATTATCGCGTGATTTGGGGACGTAGAGAAGCGAATCATCCTGGAGTTTAGTCACTGAAAATGTACGGCTTGATGCATTTGCTTTTTGACTTATTTTCATAAATATACATCGAATTGGACATATAGCTATAGCCCGCATGTAAATGTTGATGTAAAAAATTATAACTAACGTTTCAATAATCAAAAGTAATAAAAGTTATATAACTGAATATCCTCTGGATATTAGAAATGCTTTATTTTCATCATTTATAGTATATTACTGCTCTAGGCCGCAAAAAATAGAAAAGTCCCAGAGTAAAAGTAATTAGTGGGGCTTTCTTTTTTTGCGGCATAGGCCTGTATACTATTTTTCAAACACAGTGGCCCGAAAATCGCTCTTCCCGCTTTGCGCAGCTGCAGGGAAGTAGTCACTTTCGGGCCGCTGGTATGAAAATGTAATTATCCCCCCTTAAATTTTTTAAGCTTTATATGTAGAAAAAGGTACAGCGCCTTTTACTACAAAGTGTATAAAAGTAAAATAATCTAATTTAATAAAAAAACGTACCTTTGAATCGAAAATTTTTTTGTATTATTAAAAACTTCTAAATTTTGGTTTTTCCATTTTTTATTATCAGTAAATATATTTATCTCCAATTCTTTTGACAGTATATTTCAAAAAAGTATCACAACATGCTTTTTAACTTATGAAAGTTTTGAACTGCAAATAAGAACTAAAAAGTATCCGCGTTAAAAAATGTATAGCTTTACATCTTATACGAGCCAATCAATAAAGAAGGTGTAAGAATGGGTTCATTTATTGCAATCGAAAAAACTAGCAGTCACGCGATAGTGTCACATAGGTGACATTAAACTATAGTATTCGAGTCTTAACACTTCAATATAAGACGTTTATTTTATTGTTACTCAAACAAGCTTGTACTGCGATGTGCTTGATAACAAAAAATATTCATAATTTTCGATATAGATTCAAGTTTTTTTTTAATTTTGTGCAAAATTTTGTACGATGATCTTCTTATTTTTCCTTTATTTTATATCTATATTCAGCACTGTTCAATCTAAAAAAGACAATAAATTTATAGTTGATTACTTTGTGTTTAAACAAACTTCTCAAGTTGTTGGATTTTCTTGCAATGCTTTGAAAGGTAGTGTATTTTGAATTCATTTCATTTTACTGAGTAAGAATTAAAGAAGTTATTTTTCCTGAAATAGATGATATACAACTTCGGAAAAATTTGAGTTTTAAAAATATCATGTTAGGAATAAATAAATACAATGAAGTGTCGATGAACTTGTTTGCTCAAACAAAATATCATAGATTAGGCATATTTTTTGATGTTCGTTGCTACGATACCAAGATCATTAAAACTAAATTTCTTGAAGTAAGTCACGAAAAATATTACTAAAAAATTTTAAGCAAACCAATTGAAACTATGTTTATTGTTAAGGCAAACGAATTACGTATATTTGGTGAATTACATCACTGGTTAATATTAGGGTCAAATTTATCGAGAATTTTGGATATAATTGAAGATGAAGCGTTTGGCACGTCTACAGATTTTGTTATTGCGATACCATCAGCAAGAAACGATAGTTTCATACTTTACGACGTGTATAATTTATTTAAAAATCTTGGAGAAAAACTCAAAGTTATTTCATTAGGTCACTGGTTTGAAGAGGAAAACATTGTTATCCGTTTAAATCAATCCAAAATTATTAGGAGATCTAATATGCACCAAATTTCGATAAGAGCAATGCTCTATAAGGTAGTAAATGGTTTTATTTTTCATAAAAAAAAAAAATAAAGAATCCAACTAAAAAATTATAACAATTATTTTATTTACTAATTTTATAAAATTCTGAAAATAACAATTTAACAGAGATAAAAAAATTTTAGTTTAATAAAAAATTGTTGCTTGTATGTCCTCTTAACAAGTTGATGAAAATATAAAATATCTAGACCTACGAAATGAATTTTTGAAAATAATGTGTGCTCTTATATTGTTTAATAAAATAAAAACATAATTAATTCATACTTTCATAAGTTCAAAGTGGAAAGAAAACTAAAAAATAAAGTTTAAATCATAACGTTTATTATTATCATAATGTAATAATTTCATAAAAATTAATAAATTATATGTCTCAAGTGCGCTCATAGACCAAACGGAACTGCGCTAGAGGAATACTTGGGCGATTACAATGCTCTTAACAGCTGGGATGCTCAGCATAGATTTGCATATTTTGTACTTCAGTATCTATCAGTATTATACAATTTCACGTACGTCGTCTTGATTTAACTTATGATCATTTTTATGGTTCAAAATTGTTCTTTTGATTTTAGTTTGAATTTAATCGAATCCAAAATGTGGGAAGCAGGAGACGCCTTGGGTCCTATCGTTCGAGCTCTGATAAACGATTCAATTGACATTACTGGCTCACCTATATCGATGAGTGAGAAAAGGGTAAATGTATCTAAATTTGTTCATCAAGATTGGCCTTTCCGGTAATATTATAAATTAAAAATTGAATAATTATTATTGATATTTACAAATTTGTAATTAAAACAAATTTATTCTGAAAATTCTTAGAACTTGTTTTATTTTTCGAAGTCCTCCGAAAACTAACATAAAAACTCAAGAATTGTTACGTCCTCTTAGTACAGATGTATGGTGCTTGACGATTGTACTTCTTACTGTGGAGGTAATTTTGTATACCATAATCTTACGCTATGATGGTACTGAATCTATATTCATTCGCTTTTCGGATTCATTATTGACTACAATTGCTTCTGTGTGTCAACAAAGTGAGTTTATGAAGTCGTTACATAATTTGATCGATTAAGATAATCTTTTTTCATTTATTATAACTTATTTACAGGTTCAGATGTTGCAATGAATAGTTTATCAACTAGAATCTGTTATATATTTTTATTACTTTTCTCTTTATTATTCTATAATTTTTATTCAGCAAGCATCGTATCATCTCGCTTTGGCGAGCCCATTTACAAAATCAACAATTCCTTGAACGAAATGAGCAAACTAAATTTAAAATTATCTTCTGAATGGACAGTTTATTTACCCTACTTTTTTAAGGTATATAATAGTTTTTCATTTTTTTTCATTTATTTATTTACCAATATCTTTAGTACAAAGACTGGGAAGTGCAAGAATTTTACAAAAACATTTGGCAACATATACCCGAAAAACATCGTTTTATGAGTCCGGAACAAGGCATGGATTTGGTTCAAAAGGGTGGCTTTGCATACCACACACAGCCGGAGGTCGCTTACCCATTCATCAATAGGCTGTACAATCATCGAGAGACTTGCGAATTGACGGAGGTCGATTTGTCTCGATTTAACGTTGCCGCTTTTGCAGTAACGCTCAACAGTAGTATCGTAGAAACGATGAGAATTGGGTAAGCAAGGTTTGCGAAAAAACAATTTTTTCCTCTCGTCGTATAAAAATCATTCGCACTATTTATGTTATGCATAGGTTGACAAAAATCGCGGAGATTGGTCTGCGGCAGCGACAGCTCACCAGGTGGCTTCACCGGAAGCCGCATTGCCGCAAAGACATTTTAACTGCATCTAGCGTAAATATATACGAGTTTGCGCCACATCTGGTGCTTCTTGGGATCGGCATGATTCTGGCCTTAGTCGCCTGTATCGTTGAAATACTTATCAGCAATCGGCAAATTATTATTCTGCGACTCTTTAGACTTAAAAATTTTACAAGTTCCGGCTCAATTCGAAATTTCATGAATTCGTGACATACTTTTTTATTTCAACTGATATGTACGTGCGACTTTTTCATTAATAAATGAGTGAAATGTTATCGATGTGTATCGTAGTCAATACTTATGAATAATTTCAATCAAATACATAATGATGTAAGAATAAATAAGATTACACCTGTCGTTCAAATTCCATTAACGATTATTACTTATAAATAATAAAGTTTTTGGATCGATTCGCCTACGAAGAAACCAAAAATAAAATATATTAACGTATAGATTACTAAGTCAGTAGCACTAGAGTTATTGACTAATAGCAACAAATAATATGCGTCAATCATAAACTCTTGTCACTTGGATCGATTGAAGTAGCTCATAAAATGCAATTTTTTTGAACTACATCAAATAAAAAACTACGACTGACTAAATTTAACTGCGTGGGCGACGGTCTGCGATGATTTTTTATTTTTTGATCAAACTCGCTTTGTTTGTAAATACTCAAGCGAGTTATGAAAATAATCTTTTCTTAGATTACTTTAACTGCAAAAAATCACAGGGAGTAATTGGATTTTCATGCAACTCTTTTCAAGGTAAAGAAATGAATTGTCTAATTTGAATAACCTATATGAAATAAAACCACCCTTTATTGCAGAAGATGTACAGCTAATAAGAAATTTTAGTGCAGTTGGAATCACAGCCAATCTAAACAAAATGTTGGAAGATACGTTAACGCACTCTTTGACATACACGAAGTATTGGAAAATTGGAATTTTCTTCGACGCACGTTGTCATAGTGAAGATTTCTTTACTAGGATCATGTTTAAGGTGATCATCGAAATATTCAATAAAAAATTTCCGAAGTAATTAATATTTCAAATTTAACAACATCATGCAGGCAACAGACTTGCGTTTGTTCGATGATCTGCATCAATGGCTTATTCTCGGTTCAAATCTCACAAATATTTTAAATTTATTAGACGACACTGCCTTTGGTATTTCCACAGACTTGGTAGTTGTTGTACCTGGCAGTGAAGAAAGTGTCTTTCTTTTTTACGATGTTTATAACTTTTTGAGCCATCGTGGAGAAAAATTGAAAGTCGATCTGTTAGCAAAGTGGCAAAACGACATTGGGTTGAAAATTATATTAACTCGACCGAAGGTTGTAAGAAGATCGAATTTACGCGGTGCTATTGTGAAAGGGATATTTTACAAGGTAATGTATTGAATGATAGACTGTTCCAAATGTCCATTTTTGATAGCCAAATTACAGTGCTCGCATAAACCGGAAGGCATGGAACTAGTGGATTATTATAATACGTACACTATTGGTACCGGCGACGCGCAATCAAAATTTTCTTACCATATTCTCTTGCATCTTTCCGATTTATATAATTTCACGTAAGTATGCTAAATACTGAGTAAATATTCCAAACTCTGACACGAGTGTTTGTTTTTTATTTTTCGCTGAAAATAGACTCGATGCTCAGGAAACCACGAAGTGGATTCCAGGTGACACATTGGGTCCCATAGCGAGAGCTCTAATAAATTATACGGCAGATTTAACAGGTACTCCGATTTCAATCAACGCTAAAAGATTGAAAATCATAAGATTCATGCATGCAGACTGGCCTTTTAGGTAAAGATAACACTTTTAATATCACCGCATCATTGTTTCATTATTTTACAATCGTTCAAGTTTTTGAATAGAACTTGCTTCATTTTCCGGAATCCACAACCAACAAATATCAAAGTCGCGGAAGTTTTTCGACCTTTAGAAAATCAAGTTTGGCATTTAATGCTTTATCTTTTGATTCTATTAGCTTGGATTTGGTCTCTATTGTTACGTTTTGAAGGCGTTACCTCAATGCACATGAGAATATCAAATTCCTTTTTAATGATTATTGGAACAATGTGTCAACAAGGTATGTACACGTTTCTCACCTTTAAAGCTTTTTTCTAGATTGTTTCTGTCTATACAACTAGGCACGGACGCGAAGATGACGCGTATATCGACCCGCATAGTTTTTTTATTTTCTATGATATTCAGCGTTTTGATTTATAACTATTACTCGGCAAGTATCGTCTCTGCTCGTTTAGACGAGCCAATTTTCAAAATAAACAACTCGCTTAACGAGTTCTCCAAGTTGAATTTACAAATGGCTTCAGAAGACATGATTTACTTGGAATTTTTCCTCAAGGTACTTGATATACGTATTGCTTACCACCATCGAAATTTGTATGCTTTTTAAAGTTTCCAGAATGGGAAGTTCAGCAATTTTATAAAAACTACTGGCTAAAATTACCCAAATCGAAGTGGTTTATACCACCCAAAGACGGAATTAAATTAGTGAAGGACGGCGGCTTTGCCTATCATACGCACCCTGAGGTTGGCTATCCACACATTGAACAGACTTTCGAAAATCATGAAATTTGTGAATTAACGGAAGTAGATTTAGCTCAAAAAATATTTACCGCCTTTGCAGTTACTTGGAACAGTTCGATCGTCGAAATAGGACGTGTTGGGTGAGCAAAAAAAAAAGAAAAGTATGCCTGTGAGTAATAAAAATGTCTTTTCACAGGCTAACAAAAATTGCAGAAGTTGGCTTGAGACGTAGACAACTGAATCGTTGGTTATTTAGGAAGCCACACTGTCGTGTAGACGTACTCATGGCATCGAGTATTAATATGTACGAGTTTTTACCTCATTTAATACTTTTAGCGGTAGGAATGATCATTGCGGTAATTTTTTTCATTGCTGAAGTGTGCATTGAATACTATAATCGAGGTATTTTTAACATAAAAACTCCAAAACAAAGCCCGGATCACCAAGAAACGTTGAAATGTAATTAACCTTTAGACGCCGGGGGTGGTCGACATGTCGATCATCCGAGACTCGGGGTGTATGAAACTAGTGAATCGATGTTTATAGACATGCATTTCAGTAAGAATAAAAAGTCATTTTTAACTGAAAAATCCCTAGCACCTGTAGGTTAGAAAAAGAGAAATCAAAAAAAGAAAAACCATATTTTATTTGGCGCTTTTTGTCATTTAATTTTATTTCACCAATTAGCTTGCAAGAGTAATTAATTAGTAAGTTAAAAATAAAAATCGACAGCTTTAACGGGTCGCTATATTTTTACGCAACATCGAATACTCCTGGCACGTATGCACTTTAGCTGAAAATATTAATTATGCCTCATAATAAGTATTAAATCCTCGCTTGCAAATAATACGCTCGAAGTGGCAGGAGCAGCAGCAGCTGTAAGAACATAATATAACGTACGAGCATCTGCACGTATAGTAATCTTAACGCCCTGTGGAGCATTGAATTTGACGTTATTTCGCAGGGCTTGCCGCGACGACGACGACGACGACTACGTCGACGTTATATATCATACACGCGCCTCGTCGATTTCACACTGCTGAACACGTGCACTTGACTGAAGCTGTTGTACAGGCGTTCGTACACGCTTATGCTTATACACATACAAAGATGAAGACGTGATGTGCGCAGATGCTCCGCTGCTTTGCTTCTCGCACTTCCTCAAACCCTCTTTACAGTGATCAAGCGTGCATATTACAGTCGAGCGAGATACGAGAGACGTCATTTGGTTGACGTATTGAAAAAACGAAAGACAATATTTGACATCGACGAATGCCTTATCATCTGCTTATTTCAACATTTTTATTTGCATTATCGGGGATGAGATTTACAGGGTATTAGAGAAAACTGCTGAAGAAAATTTGGTGTATAATTCTGGCTTTGTTGTAAAAAAAAGTATAAAAATATGATGATACTTGTCGAATGAAAAATATTAAATTTTGGCATAAGCTGCGTAATTAGCTATTCCACAGCGATTGACTCCTTTGCGCAATCGCATGTATCCGTTTTCGCCCCAGGTATCGCCCCACCAATTCTTCAAGATCCACTCGTCGGGCGTGTAACCGACAATCAGCATTGCGTGATTTACAACGTTCGACGTACAGGCTGGGTCATCGTATACTCCGGAGCTATTCGAGTAACGAGCAAAAGATTTGATTATCAATATAGCGTGTAATCATCAGAAAATATCAGCTCTTACTGGTAGAGCTGAAAAGACTGAAGACCCGCGTTGATGGAAGCGGCTATCGGTCCTATGGTAGCCACAGCTGCTTCGAGGGAAAGCTCGTCTCGCGCTGGCAAAACAGCCCATGAGGTAATGTTTACGATGCTCATGCTGCGCTGGTATTTACAAGCACCTTGCTTAGGATCAATACACATTTTTAAGTACTATTATTATATATTTTTCAAACAGGATAAAATGGTGGAATCATAAAATGAAATGTAAGTTTACGCTAACGAGCTATATTTTTTATATATTAACATTTGAGAATAGCACAATGGAAAGTACCATGTAGAATTTTGAACTCACCTCCCCTGTGTAAGGATACGAGGCATCAGCCATGATTCCACGACACTTTTCGAGATATCTCAAGGTATTTCTCAACGAGCCGCCGGTACAACCCATGTTGCCCGTCTGCGTACTGCAGTCTACCAACTGCTGTTCGCTCAACTGCACGACCAGGCCAGTTTGACGAAAAATCTGGCCCGCTAGGCTGCCTGCTATGCTGTAGGCGTAGCAACTGCCGCAGTCCTCTTGATTCTCCGGTTCGGTAACGAAGCCCTTTTCACGCCAGTCCAGTGAGCGAGGTATGCGACGCGGATCTTGTAACACGGAGGCAACCATTTCCTCGTCGCTTACTCGACGACGCCGACTTGGCACCAACTTGACCTAATTAAAAAATATGCGAATCGCCATATGCAATAATATTTTAATATTTCCATTCCCCAATCGGATTACGTATATTTTTTTTTGTCAGAAATTTTACAAGAAATTTTCTGCAGTCCCGTGATTTTCGTTAGATTTCTCAAAGAATACACAGCGCGTGAGAGAGCTTCACTGGCTATTACCGCTCGAGGCTATACCCGTGGTAAGTTCTTCGGTTCGGCTTTTTATTGGAAAAATTCATTGGCCGCAACGTGTATGACGAAAACATCAATAAAAAATCGCGTATAAGTGGAAAAATCTTGGATCCTCGGCACAATCAAAAGATCGAATATAGTGATTCCTGGGCCAAAAGATATCAGTCTCCTATCTTTGCTTTCCGCTTTTGTAATAAAGGCTCAGAGTGTGGCAAAAATCTGATACTATTATAATAAGTCAAAGAGGAAGTTCACTCGAGAGGTTGAATGAACTTTTTTAAGGATAAAAAGAAATCCTAGGACATCAGAGGCTCGTTATAATATAATGACGTAGTAATAATACGAAACGAACCAGTTCTTTGATATAGTCGCGACTGTTGAGATCTGCGTAGGTATTATCTCGGAGAGTATAATTGTGATGGCCTGCCTCGGCCAAGAGGTTGTGCTCGTAAATCTTCAGCAGGTTGTTTTCCCATGCGATGCGCCGCTGACGCTCCTCGCGCCCCGTGTACGTCTTATTATTCCGTGTCTGCACGCCGCATATAAACAGCGTTAATTTTTATTGATCGTAACGAGTCAGCGTTGCGGTGCCAGCTTCGTCCGGGCACAGCCATATTTACCTTGAACAACATCCAGTACTCGTCGAGATGTTCCGACACGTTCTTCGTGAGCTTCTGCATAAGCACAGATTGCACCAGTGCCAAATAAATCAGTATACAAAACGCGCGATTTTTATACGGATACTTTATCATTGTTATTCTTCACATTGGATACTCGTGCATACTTCGAGCATTGGTACGAACTGAATCATCGGAATCGATGCGCTACTGACACTTTCTGATTTCGCTTTGCGTAACAACATTTTTTTTATGATTACGCATACAAATTTGATTTTGTTTTTATAACACAACGTATGTACTTGTATTCTTGTGGATATTAAAAAAAAGCTTCTTCAAGAGCAAAAATTAAAATGAAAATGCTAATTCAGTAGCTGGCTAAATATTAACGTGCTAATGGCTGCAGGTCTCAAGGAAGTCGAGAAATTATACACATACCCCTTCTATATGTACCCGACGACTACATTATTAATCTCTAAAATCATAGATTAAGACCTTCCTAGTGTACCGTAGATAACGCATTAATATCTCCCTGGGACGTCACGTCTGCTGCAGATTGTCACGCACATACACATATACGCAGCTTGAGTATGACCTACATATATAAAGTCAACCCTTAAGGACTATGAATACACATATATGCACTCAGACACACATGGGCACAGTCGGCTATATTGTATATCTTGAATGTAAACTGAGAATGCCTTTGTGGCTGTGACAAAATGAACTAGCGCACATACCCTTTGAGCCATTCAAGAATTGTCTTGCCATGCACACACATACACACGTACACACTCTCTCAGCAAGATTCTACAGTTTTTCTTTCTTCTTTTATTTTTACCGAAATGAAAAAGTAATTTCGTTTGTTTTTCTTTTATCATATTGAAAGCTTCAAAAGTTTCTTTTTGTCGAATGCAATCATTATGTGTACGCAAAATTTTTCTCTCGCGGTATTCTAAAATATCTCTCGTTTCGTAAAAAACACACTGAAACGAAACATGTATTCTTTTGTGCGTACGTACAAATGCTCAAATTACGGTATTGTCAGCTTGATATAACGATATAATTCATTTCAAATGTGCAAATTATAATAAGAGAAATACTGATGATCGATTCACTAAAGTCTTTGAGTTTTTATAAAATTCCATATCATACAGTTTTTGTGCGGTAACCCTAAACCGTACAAGTTACAATATCAACGTAGAAACTAATCTCAATAATTTGATTAGCTTCTAATTGAACCATATAAAGAAATATATATACAAAAACGATAGTAGAAGCAAATTCAAACAATGACTTGCATTTTATCTTGATATTCATAGTAGTTTCGTTTTGATTGTGTATAGAGTCTTTAAGACGAAGTTTGATAAGATAATCAATTGTAACAATTCGTCAGTTCACAAAGGTAACTTATTATCAGGTACTAAAAATAATGATTCACTAATTGCATGTAATGTTCACCCGTCACCTTTTAATTACCTTTGGAATTTTGGCTAGCTCACAATACCTTTATTTCCCACTATTTATTAACAATATTTTTATCTAGGAGCTACTGATGATCAGTGCACTAAAATAATATTTGATACTAATATGATCTAGATTATGATTAGAAATCTAAAGATAATTTTACAACTACCCTGATGATTTTCACATAAGTGAAAAAATGATGTATTAATTAATCAACTGACGAAATTGTTTTTTCAATAGATTACTGAAATAATTAAATATTGGAAAAAATGTATCTACATCATAGTGAAAAATTCATTTGATATGTCATGAAAATTGAAAATTCATGCGAGATTTAATTTTTTTCCCCTTTACACCGCAGATTTTATTTCGCGACATACGGAACAAATTTATCCTGATATGGTATATGAATTTGTTTCAATAGTATAGTTTTAAAAATTTTCATTATCGTGGTTTGTTTCAAATACTTAATCCAAAGAAAACTGTTATTATACGAATTTCTATTATTTAATGACAGTTTTAGAACTCTAACATGATTAGTGATTTTTAATAATCCAGGGAATAAGCTACAAGATTAAATATTGAATAAATGAGTGTAAAAAAAATTTGACGATGTAAAGCGATTTTAAGCCGTGGCGATCGGCAACCCAGCAGACGGCTCGGTATACAAATTAATCACGTAATTTGGCGCTTGTAGCAGAGCTTGGAGAGGGGCCTGGCCTCTCACTCCGTATCTGCTGTTGTTGCTACTATTGCCACTTCGTCACTTGTAGCATCTATACAGCCATGTACAATCGCGAGCTGTGTATGTACCATAATATACACTCTTACTCAACGTGAAATCTTGGCGATATAAAGGGGATTCTGGCTTACGTGCAGCTCGCGCGCATCAACGCGCTCTCAGCTCGCTCTCGTTGCCGTCATCGTCGTCGCTTGAGAGGCGCTCTAAGCGATCCCGCTGCTTCAGTACAGACTTTTCATTGAAACTCTCACTATCACCTCTCTCTCTCTCTCTCTCTTTCTCGCTCACTTGCTCGCTCTCTTTCTCGCATGTAATATTTTTTCGATTCGTGCGGCGGGCCGTTCACAAGTGCAGCACGCGCGCGCTCTTCTGTCGTAATAGAGTTGCTATTGCCGGTCGCAGTTCAGCTCAACCTGTTGTTGCTGCTTCACATTGCGTGCATCGCTGTATAGTGTGCATATACAAGTAATTCTTTGAATATAAATCGGCCCGATTGTGCGTCGGTGTGCGTCGTCAGTGTAACTGCCTATTATAAAATACGCCGCTTATTTTTTTGTGCGCGATGAAGAGCTACTCGAGCGCCATCTTTTTGCGAATCGTCAAGTAGATCGAACTTTAGACTTAACCAGTGCTGTAGCTGAACGCTGACAATACCGACTCACATGCAAAACTACCGAAGACAATACGGCTAAAACGTGACCAATTTTTCCAGTGTTACTTTTAGATATTGATGAATGTTGTGGTGTGCATTAATGTTGAGAAGATAGTGCTTATTTTTTTCTTTCTTTTTTTTTCTTTTTTTTTTAATACATATAAACGAATTAATAAATAAACATGATGAATGGAGAATCTGGTATCGACATAAGCTTCGATCTGAACGCTCTAACGCGTTTGGGCTCGGAAGATGACAGTCTGGGCCTGGAGTACAGCTGTGACCTCGAACAAACGCTTGCGGCTGCTAGTACGCAGGACTTCATGTATTATGAGCTGAAGAGCAGAGCGCCCGACACTGGCAGGTTCGTCTCATTATTATTCGATGAGTTTATACCTAAGTGAGTAAATTTTGAGCTTTTTTTTGTGTTTTTTTTTCGCTCCAACTGTTGTTACTTCTTCTTCTTCGTCTTCTTCCTGTCGTTGAGACGTAAAACAACACCATGTGGATTGCACTTGTTGCCTTCATTGTTTACATGCAAGAGTGAAGCGCGCCAAGGGGTAGATGACATTCTGCGCTCTCCTACATACACATAGACACACACGCGTGCGCGCACACACACACAGACTTCGATTGCGCGAAAAAAGAGAGACAGATATACATATATGTATACATACAATGTGAAAGCAAAGCACATCGTTATCTAGTGCACGTTATGTTGTTGATAGCGATAAAAACGAGGCATTTGGATTTTTACACAATGCTGCGCCAAGATCTTTCTGTGTTGGTTTTATGCAGACTTTTTTTCGAGGGAGAAAAAAATCAAAGAGGCTATCTCGATCAAGAAGATAATAATGGGGAAATGAAGAGTATGAAAATTTTAATTTATCCAATGCAACTTATTACTTATGCAACAATATTTCAACATTTTATCAGGAAATTTTATTTTTAATGTTTGAAGAACGTACAAAGATAGCAAGTGTCAATTCATTTATTAACCATTGAATGTGCGGTTAATGATTGAATTTCAAACTTTTAAAAGTATTGTTTGTATTCTGAAAAATAACACAAGTTTTTATTTCACCTTTTCGGTCTGGATTGGATAATTAAATTGAAAAATTTGAACGTAACGATAGCTGCAGATGATATTATTTGTTTACCAAGGTTAACTCTTTTATAACGGGTGAAAGTTGTTTTTGAACGCTAACGTATCTGGAAGGGGGAAGGGGCTCGTCAAACATGGATTTCTTCAAAAATTTCATCGATGAGATGTGGCTGCATTTATATATTCGATTGAATAAACAAAATATCGAAGGTTAATTCGTGTTTGACGAGTCAAAATGACGTAGTCGCAAGTGTCACTTTCTAGTTAATACAAGTATATACAAGAATTATAAGATAAGTAAGATAAAGCGAATGTATATTAAATCGCAGGACTGCGACGTTACCGGTAAAAATTCAAATACAATTATGCCGCAGCCGCACGCTCGAAAACTGTCGCGGGTGTATGCGCGAATTCGCCATTTTTTCATACTCAGATTCATTAATGCTCGCTGCGTGACATCGCCAATACGTTAGAAAGAGACGGAGGAAAAGTCCCAAGCAGATAGATCAATGAATAGCGGCATTTAGAATGTAAATCGTCAATTTGCTTTTTACGGTCACGTGAATCAATTTAGCCGAGTTCTGCGCTCTTGCCAAGGCATCATCTCAGTCGCATACGCACGATCGGTCGATCGTGTACACAATCGAATGCGCGTGTACAACGCAAAAGAAAAAATAAAGACGAAAAAACAATTTACAAAAATTAATCTCGCGAGAGTGAGAGAGCTGTGAGCGCGAGTACTATTTATCACGCTGATTGCGAGTGATTGTCATTTTTAATATAGTCACAAATACGGTCAAACAAGTCGACATAGGCGCAGAAACTATGTCACTGCAAAATTTATCGACTTCGGAGTATTTTTTTTCTTCTTCTCTTATTCGATACAGTTGCTTATAATATATACATATACAAGCACGGTATATATAAAGACACTTGGCACACATCGCAAACGTGTACGAGCACACGTAAATACATATTGCACAGGCGGCTCTCGGCGCCTCGTGTGCGCACAGTTGGTGTAATTTTTTCATTTAGAATTCGGACGCTCAGCGCATTTCGTAAGATTGCACTAATTTTTACTAATAAATATCGCGCTGACGTTTGACTATGAGGATACGCACATGAATTTCGACTTTCCGCGTACGATTTTCGTCGTATGAGCAAGATCGTCCATGCCGAAACGCGCGCCTTTTACAACTTAGAAACAGTGAGCTCCTGTACTACCTAAAATTATCCATCATACAATGTGGCTTGAAGCATCATTTACATTTTTTGAATACAGTATTTGTATATTTTTACAGCGCTAGCTACAGCGATCTGTTGACTGTAGCTTTTAAATATTCCAAACGAATAACAATAACATTTATGTGAAATTGAAAAATACTTATCTAACAATATTTTATATCGTCTCCTACTGTGACAACCAAACCGTTAGAAATTACTACTTTATGTAATTTTTTAAACTTTCTGTCAGTTATCAAAAAATCAACATCGTCAAACACTTGCACATTTCAAGTACAATAAAATGAAGCGCTAAAAAAATTCCCGGAATACGTTGATGTGAACGAACGATTAAAACCTCTGAAACATATTTTTTTCTTCCTCGGTGTTTCATTAATATTTTCAAAACAGGTGAAAATCTTAATTCTCGAAGGCATATTAAAATATGCAAGATATTCGAGGAACTACTTTTTAGACATTTTTAATTTTTTACTTACTTTGTTCAACAGGGCCCGAATCAATGATTAACATTTTAACAACTTTAATCAATCGTCAATGTGCTGTACAAAATGATTTTTTGCAAAATAATTTTTTAACAAGCGATTCGAATTAAAAAAAACACTTTTCAATGAGTGTCTGATGATTCAAGTAGTATATTGCGTTAACATTTTAAGGTAGACGTCCAGAAGGATAAGTGGAAAATGACCGGATTCAATGCCAATCACGATACTCGACTTATTCTAATTTACAACAATTTAGTAAATAATTTCTTGTTTGTCATTTACATATGTTATAAAAAGTTATAATTTTCAAGATATATTTATCGGTTCCGACCTATTCTTCATGACTTATTAGTAAAACTCATCTGTTATTATAATTAACATCGAAACAAAAAACAATTTTTCTAGTCTATATCGGAAATGATCCACTTAATCGACGAAAGTATATGAATCAGAATATTTTGTTAACCACTGATACTGGGCCAACGAATTTAATGAAAAAATCCCGTTCACCCGAGGTTTACGTAAGACAACGTTTTAAATTTTAGCATGTGAATGGAATTCTCAAAAAATCAAAACCGAATTTCGATATAATCTGAAAAATTAAATGTTGCAGCAAAGCAAAAATTGCACATCAATATATAGATTCCGGCAAATATTTACGATAAAAATGATTTGTTTTTGATTGTGAAATGTGTGCAAGTGCTCAAATTGATGCTGTTTTCGTCGTGAAACCGCCATTATTACGTGTCTACCGTCACCTTACACTTTCACATTTTCATTTGATCAATCCTTCAACACATGAAACCTTCTCTTTTCGTCAAACACACATTTGGGCATTCTTCTCTCACCTATGGCTTTTAAAATAACATCGAGATATATTTCATATTTGTTGATATGTATATACTTCCGAAAATCAATTATTCGAAAGTGAAATGTTATCGCCTAACCATTAAGACTGGTTTAAGCGGACATTAAATATCAATCAGTATCACCAAGTAAAGCTCGGTTCAATGAGCAAAATTGTCAAAGCCAAGCAAAGTTTCTAATCATTACTACACTAATTAGCAATTAAAGTTAGGTACCGATATTGCAAGCGTTTAATTATTTATTTGATTATTCAAATGATGCACTCGATTTTAATATACCTACGTACAGCTCAAAACTCGTTGCTGTAGCAGCTAGCTCATGATATACTGATTTTAAACGCGATTATTTTTCTATTTCCAGTATATAACGTAATCAGCTGTATATTCGCGAACCATCGTAATGCCATCGATTTGCAAGACGATACACCAGCAAAACGAGCATCTTAGATTGTGCATATACATTGTGCAATCTCTATTTTTTTACAGGTCAACGAACTTGGAAATATACAATAAATTGGCGCTTATCGCTTGGCATGGTAACTAAGTTTGGCGTTGAAAACGGTGACATGCAATATCAAGATTTTATTTGATTAAATATTCAATTCATCGAGAAATAATTTTTTTCGATCGCAATATTAAACTTATCTAATAGATTATACATAAAATTCAAAATTTACGTACTTTATCATAAAAATCCATAATGAAAATATTCAAAAGTATCGTCAGTACAAGTTAATAAGGCAATTGCAAAAATGAATTTAATATTCGGAGCTGATAATCGTCTCCCATCCATCGAAAACGGAGCATAGCATATTAAAATTTCTGAACCACTACACGTTCAAATAGTATATAAGTATTCAAGGATAACACTTTCAATTAATAAGTTCATGTACAAACGTTTATTACGTATATTTATTTATTGTTATATATGTTTATTATATATTAATTATTGTTAAAAAGCTAAAGAGGCGTAGCACAAGAGTTATAACTCTTATTTTTTCACAAATCCTACTTTATTCAAATAAAAACAAGGTGTTTATCAAATAGGCGCTAATTAGGTATAAGTATAGGCTTCATCTTTGGAGCTGAAACTCGATGTTGTAATTCACTCGATTTCTTCACTTTTACATTTGAAACAAAACAGTAAGATTGTAAAAATCTATTCCTCAACTTGGGTTTTTCAAAATCAAGTATTTGGAAGAAAATATCAATATTTAGGTTAGTGATATAATTCAAAAACACAAAAGATAAAGTTTTATTACAACTGCAGAAATTTTTCAGAAAAATTCCAAGCAAAAGCACAATGTCAGACATTTATTGATGGACGCGACTAACAATCATTATCACTAGAATTACTTGGCCAAAGATAATAGAAGTAACTGTTTACTCATAGTCAAAAAAATACACTAAAAAGTCAGATCATTAAAATATTTGTTGTCATAACTAGACTCTATATCCAGCAATGTAATTCAACTATGAAACTGATTATATAGTACTTACAGATATATTGTATATAGTAAATTATATTGTGCAGAGATTTTTTAATTTCAAAACACTATATTGACTTTTTTTCTTTCTTACTGTCTGAACCAATGTCCAGTGTACGATTCCGTGTCAACGAATTTCACCAAATCTATAAACTAATAAAATTATATTGCGGAATATTATTGGAAATTAATTGAAAAAGCAAGCTTTTCCTCGATGATTTTTTATTCAATGATAGATTATAAAGTAGAAGTTCAAGCCAAGCTTTTTGTATAAATTACCATTTGAGTTTAGGCTATCGGTGTGCTGTAACTTTTTGAAGCATCAAAAATAGATTACAAGTGAAAACTCAAGGAATAAAAATATTAGTTGATTATTTATAATTAGTAAAAGTAATAACTCAATTTTAAATTTACATAAAATATAAATAAATAAACAAAGTAAGATTCGATAAAATATGAATCTAAAAAAGTTATGGCTGACGGTAAAGGGATTGAGACACCACACAAAGTTATCATTAAATAGCATCATCTTTATATGAATGAACTATACCTAGGAAAAATAGAGAGAAAGAGAGAAGTCAAAGTCGGAAGCGTTGACTTTGACAAGCTTGAGCCAAGAAACCGCGTCATCGTTCAGAGCTTTGCCAAATATCTTTACCTAAGCGGCTAGAGCAGAAGCGAAACAGAGAGCGAGAGAACGCTAAAAGCTCATCTGCGCGTATGCGTGTGTGTAGCCAGAGAGGAGAGAGACGTTTACGAGATAGCTTTGCGGTGCAAAGTTTGTAAGATTTTATATTAGTAGCGTCGCGACGACGTCGAGATCGTCTGAATTCGATGACAATAATAATCATCATTAGAGTGATGAATTTCAGTTTAACGATTGATTTAGAGTAGCCGTTCGGATGATCGATTTATCGATTGCAAGTTCGTTATTAGCCAATATGCAGCGAGCGCGCGTGCAGTAAAGTGTTGATATATTTTTCTTATCGCTCAAAAGAGGAAAAAATAACGCATAATTTTCAGGGCAGTTCAGTGAAAGTAATGTGAAAATTGTTTCGCGTGATAAGACATTACCACAGTAGAGAGAAAGTAGACGATGAATCAGACTCCAACCGATGCGACTCATCGTCAAATCATCGAATTCGAAGAGTTGATATCGCGTTTCGAGCGTATCAACGATGGAACATACAATCAACCACAGCAACAGACATTGAGTTTAGACAAAGGCCTGGACACTTTTAATAATGAGCATTACGATTTGAATACAAGCCCGGCTTTATCTTTGGATTGCAATAGACAATTGCCAGTGCAGCAACTTTCGAATTTGGCTATACTCAAAAATCTAGCGAGACTGTCAAGGTCGACCGCGGCTACTGCTGCTCCTACCACTACTGACTTCCTAGACCAGAATAATCAAGCCGGTAGTGGTGGTGCTACAATTTCTGCCGCTGTTGGTCAACAGCCGGCAGAATTGTTCGCCCAAAAAATCATTCCAGAGAAACAGGTGTATCAATGATTTTTATTTGTGATGTTATTTTAGTAATATTGATTCTAAATTACCTACTTTGGATTTTATCATTTTACATACTAACTAGATTATTTTACTTTTTGAGGGTAGTCGAAGTAGTGTTGATGATTAGAACTTTTTTCCTGAGCGAATTGTCTTTCAATTTTACTTGTATTAGTTACTTTTTTTAAATTAAAATTTCAATTAAAAATCGATGAGTGGCATTAGAAGTATAGAAGTAACGTAAAAATTATTAATCAAATCAACTTCTTTAGAGTGAATACATGACAAAACGATCATATCTAATAATACTTAGTTGGAGGGGGGTCCACAGATATCGTAAAGACTCTAGATCCATTGTGACTGTAAACTCACAATTCGGCTGAATTGGTCAATCAAAATATATATTTATCAGTATATTCAAAACAAACTTTAATTTTTCCAAGAAGTAACGACGAAATGTTTATATTTATTTCCTATACGTAATTCAAATAAGAATTCAATTCGATGATATTGATATTTTTTGTAAAGTCTGAAGCTCACTTGATATCAAAGTCCAAGCATTGAAATCATAGAGGTTTCTTTTGAAAATAATATTACATAGAGCGGAGAAGTAATGTTTCTAACGATAAAAAACTGTCTTACATGTACCAGTCAACACTGTCACAAGAGAAACCGGTGCGCGTAAATATTGGCATTGATGAAGATTTACAAATGATCCTGGAAATGGATCCGTCTATTGTGGACCGAGTACCACCGACGGCTGGTTCGAATCATAGCAAAATGGCCATGACAACGCCACGAGCATCCACGCGACCACAAGGCTGGTACTGTATTTCTCCTCTCCTAATTGTTGTGTTCGGCATGCTGCTTACTGTTGTAACGCGTACTATCAATCCCAGTAGCATCGACGAAGCTGCTTTAGTTGGACATTGTTTAAAATTTTCTGACTCATTAATTTACGAGATGTTAATACGGTAAATCGAGACTGCGTCGGATGAAATAAATTGAGAATAAAATCCGTATCGAGGGGTTATTTTATAGAATATCTATTTAATTTCCTTAAGATGGGCAAAAATTTGCCGGAGTTTTGGGATAAAGCCAAGACTCTTGCGATCGCCATAACGGATTTGGCACGCTTGCCTTTTAGATAATTTCAAACTCTATTGAAAACCATTCTCAGAAATAAATTCTTTGCTCCAAGAGGAAGTGAACGAAAGTAAGAAAAATAAAATTCATAACATATGCAGTATGCATGCATGCGTAGAAAAGTATACCTACGGAACACTTGTTACAATAAATACGAAAACGCTCGCTGTTTTCCATCTGGAATCGGAAAATTATCAAATTTCATGCACAAGCGATTTTAATCGGGAAGCCTCCGTTTATGACTGGAAGAATATTCTTATATATTTACATAATATCCAAAAAAAGAAATGCCTGCATGCATGAACTTACGTATGTATACGCATGTATGTTTACTTTCAAGGTTGCTGTTTTTTTCGAGCCTGCATACTAATTGTTATTTGACTTGACTCTTTTTCGAGTATGTCGTGTACGAGTGCGTAGCACTTGAAGTGCACGAATTTAGTTATTCACTAAAACTTTTTTTTTAAATTTGGGATATTTACAATTCCATGCAATAAGATACAACAAAGTGTAATTAGTTAGACTTAAATTCTTCCCACTGGTGGGGAAAGATCTCGTCTGAAGTCCTTTTAAAGGAAATAAATAAAGCAGGGATAACGGGCGGGCGTGCAGTTACGAGCGCATAGTACAACGCAGGCTACGAGGAGAGCTTCGATTTTGGCTCGACCTTTAAAACGACGTGTCTCGACAGCTTTGACATGGCTCGCAAACGAGAGAAGTTTTAACGTCGACAACGAGCTTAGTGACAATTAGCATGCAAAATCGTAGTTCATCGGGGATTTTTTTTCGTTTTCTCGTTTCACTGTGATCACTTGTCATTAGTAAAATATCGAGACGCACGTCTGAGCTTTTTTTTGAAGTCTTAAACAAAAATTATTCTTGCGTACACATATTTCTTATCATTTCCTTTGCTTACGCGGGGTGATATACTCCGATCACACTCCGCGCGTTTCATAAAATAATCTTTCAAGTTTCCCAGAATTTTCTTACGCGTGCAGGTGGGAAAATAAATTCTCTTCTCTTTATTTTTAATTTTAATTTTCTTTTTTTCTTTTTTTGAATCATAAATCAACACGATCGTGGTAAACAACGCTCGTACCCGCAAATATACAAAGCACCAGTGGCGGGTAGCAGTTCTCGACGAGTAATCTAATCTAATCATACATATACACGCGAAGCCCCGAGTATATGCAAACAATACTCGGGCACAAGCTGTAGCATATACATGTATGCACTGCTTTTGATAATTAAATGCGCGTGTACCAGTTTCTTTCGCTTATTTCGTTTTTTCTCCCTCTCTCTCTCTCTCTGCTTACGTTGCGTGTCCTTATATGAGAGTGCACCCGCTGCTACGGCTCGTGAAGCTGACATTTTTTCTTACTTAAAACGCAGTCACAAAGATAGAATGAGATTATATTCAGCTTTGTTGCCGCACGCAAGTCGCGTGCAAAAGCTTCCAAAATTATTTTTCATCGACGTCAAAAGATAGGCTTGTGTGTGATGTGATTAAAATGAGAAATTACTACAAAGTTTCTCTGTCTGGCTGTCTCTCTCTCTCTCTCTCTCTCTCTCTCTCTCTCTCTTAAATGAAATCTTTAAGGGTCTGTGACCTTGTCTCCGACTTTTATCTTATCAATTGTAAATGCGTTCATTAATGACCTGAAAATGACTTCTAATAAAGCGTGAAAAAATATCAACTGCTGCTATTTCAATGTTCGGCCATGATATGCCGGGTACGCAATAAAGTTTACAAGGTTGTCTCGGAACAAATACAAGGAAAGAGAAAGAGTTCATTCTAATAATTACGAAGGATTTCGATGAATCACTGAAACTCAATTCTAATGGTTTGATGCTTTGAATCCGCAGGGCTGCTAAGATAAACGTTAAATTATTTGTGAAAGATTAGATGAAACCTCAACAAAATTCTCTTAAGAAAATATTTTAGCGCGAAGATTTCTAATGTGCATATTCTAATGAAATGTAACGAAAAAACAGTTTTCGTCAGTGCTAAACTTTTATGAAAATCCGTATACACGAGGAAAATGGCCTGGAATGAAGCTTTAAACTACGACTGCGATGTGCATTTGAAGCCAGAAGTCGCATAAATAAGTCGAAAAACTTTTCAAAAAATTATGCTCGACAAAGACTTCTCACAGCGCAGCGTATACCGATTTTTTTCTTATTTTTTTTTAAATTCCATAGAAAACTAATGCAACGATTTGTGTTTTATGCACCTGCACCCCTAGAAAAGCGGCTTCAACGGCTTCATTAAAATGCGCGGGAGAGTTCGTTAGTGCTGCTGCGAGACGGCAATGGGGCTTTTGCGGAAAACTGCTGCTACTCTGCTGCTGCTGCTGAGCTTGCTACGCACTTATATACGTCAAGCTTTCACGTTTTTGGTAGCGTGACTTTTCTCCCATTGCGCATGAAATGACGAATTTAATAACGCCGTGTAATATTTTTGAATAAGATTTTAATATATATGGCCAATTCTCTGACAAATATAATGGCCAAAAAATCTTTTTTGTTAGCATAAAGAACTTGTAGTTTTTGATACAGTACATATTTTATTAGAATTATCCGGATCGTCTATCACCCATTATTGGTGATCCAATTTAGCATTTTTTTTAAATTCGTGGTTATTGCTACAATTAAAACTTTTTTCTCAACCCAGGGTTATTTTATGGAAAAATTCCTATGAGTTGGCTTTTATAGAAAGTAACATAGATATCAAATAGAAGTCAAAATAGAATCGAGCTCCCTTACAATGTCAACTGATACCTTTAAATTGTAGTAATTGATTTCGAAATCTAATATACTTTTGAGTAAATTAGTTTAAATTGTTACCTTGCGCACGTTAAACGCAAAATTGAAATCTTTCACGCGATTTTAGCAATGGATCATCGATCGATACCGAGAAACTAACGATCTTCTCGACTCATACCGACAGTAGGTACACAATCTTTGAAATAACGATTGGCGCCACTGGTGTCGAAAATGCAGCGAAATTTTTGCAACTCGATCTTTTACAAAATCAAAAGTTCTTTAAACTAGGTCTTTCACAACTATAAGAAAAGTAAATTTACAAGTCGTTTTGCTATTTGAAAGAATGAATTATTTGAAGAAAAAATTATATTTGATTAATAAAATCAAAAAATGCGATTTATCGAATGCAAAAACCGAGTTTACCGACAAAAATTAAAAAAAAATCAAAGATTGACTTGAACCATTGGATTAGTCGTTACCCATGACGAACAAAAGAGCGAATCCTTGCCTCATAATTCAAGCTATTGACGAACCAAGCGAACAATTAGAGCCGGTGTTAACGAAAGCCGAGTGTGAAAGAAAAAAAAGAACAAAGGTTTCGTGCTTTTGCCGCTGCTCTAGTCAACTGAGTGATATGTGGTTGCAGTATCGGCGTGTTTGGTTCTTATCGCAATGCGTATATATATGTTGTACGTATAGAACGCATAAAATATAGCAACGAGCTCTTCTTCTTTTTCTCTCTTCTGCCTGTGCCACCACGTCATTCGTTTGAATAAAGTAGATGGCAGATTTAGGTTGACTTAAGTGGTATTGATTAGTCGCATCGAATGGAATTTATCATGGTGCTCTTCGGTATTTATTTTTCTCCTTGTTTATTTATTTCTTTAGAAATTTTTTATTCATCATTTCACTCGTGCAGAAGTGAACTTGAGGCGCATCCTCAAGGCTCGTCGTTTCTAATACGAGCAAACGTATACTACACGCGGGACGGATGTCACCGTAGTTTAAAAATTAGCGAATTTCTCGGACGAATTGAAAAACGAAGCGTGACGTACAGCGTAGCGAGTGATGCAGGCTAGCTAAAGAAAAAATCCTGGGATTTTCAGATGCAATTATCGAGCGCGGGTCGTTGGCATAAACCAACCAATCACATTACACACAGACATTTCGCTTTTTTAAAATGTTGTTACCTTATAAGGCTTTTTAATGTGCATCGAGTTCGAGTGAACTCATAGAGAACTATTATTTACTTGCTCACGAATCGAATTTATGAAGAATCATAAATCTTTCCGGTTATTTTTAAACGTTGAACTGTTGAATGAAAAAATACAAGTCGCTCGAGAAAATCAACTCAATTTCGTCAAAATTGTTTTTACTCAGAATTCATGTGCAAGGAAATACATTTTTTTAGAGCTCTCGTATCACTGAACAATCGAGCAGCTACTATATACACGGAAGTGAAACAACAGAATCGAGCGATAATATCAGCCGGGAAAGTAGCCGTTGCCGTGTTGTTCGCGGCGAATAAGAGGCGAGAAATGTAAAATGACAGATAACGTGCGACTTTATTGACAGAAGCTTCGATTGGCGAGCGAAGACATAGCCGTGCACGAGAGACAGAGAGGTGAAATTCCAAATACACATTGAATGTACGGCGCAAACGTTGTGTGTGTCTCGTGGTTTTTCATTTGCCACCACCGTATGTAAATGTCGATCTGTCAAGCTGCGAATGTTTTTAATTAAAATTCCACTAAAGGGACTCTCTAATGGGCAACGCACGCGATTGCGCAAATGTTTAAACAGTGCACGACATTAATATGGAATTCACTTTTGTATATATGTGTTTAAACTTTTGAATTCATCGAGATCGTAAACGACTGCAATTATTATTTATAAATAGGGTATTATTTCGTATAAATATAACAAATATAATGTTGATAAGTAATTACGAAAACGCATAATAAACACAATGCTAGCAGACTTTTTTCATATGCAACGAATGCATGTCAAAATATTATATATCTGACGTGAAAAGTGGATATTGCTTGTAAAATTTGACATGATTGCGCATAAAAAGATTTGATTAACCCTTTGAACTTTTCAGGGGCAGGAATGAGATAATGCCACTCGTAGCCCTATATAGTCGTTCGTTGAGCACATTTTGAAATACTATTCGCGCACCGAAGGTACGGCTTCGGAGATCGTCAGTCTAACGGAGTGCGCCTACATTTTGAGATCCACCACACGTGCATATGTATACGCAGCGAGCGAGGGAGAGAGAGAGAGAGAGAGAGACGGAGCTAGGGCTTTCCATTAGATTTTCAATTAACGCGTTAATTAAGCCCGAAATCGCGCGAGCACGCGGTTTACTGCGTCGCGCGTTGGAGGGTGTGGTACGCTCCAGCATATATACACTTAGGCGCGTAGCTTATATAGAGCTAAAACTGCTACTGTAGCCATACCACTGCTGCAGATGTAAACAGAAACGCATCTGTCTTTCGAGGATACATGTGTGCACACCAGATGCGTGTGCACAAGCGGCTACCGCTGCTACTGCCGCTGCTGCTTGTGCAGCTCCTAATAACAATACACCTAGATATTGTTGCACTGTACGTATATATGTATATATATGTACGACTGCGTCTATATGTCTCTCGAGCAGCGCGCGAAAGAGCCCAAGTCAGGCGTTATCGCGCGAGCACTCGAAGCTTTTAGAGAATATGTATTATGCGTTCAGGAGTCATGTACTGCGCAGGTGTGTGCATCTAGTCTCGTCATGAAATTTTCTCTTTCGTGTGTTCAAATGAATGACTCCTAGCGACTCATAGCGACTTCAGAACACCAAACGTCATTTTACATGCCTTTAATTTATATAATTTCAGCCCACCGACTTTTAAAACAGCCACGCCAACATCGCGCACTCAGCTGAAGTTGCAGTTGATGCGAGAACAGCATCAGGAGCAGGAGAGACGCGAGGCTGAACTTCGACAGACGTTGGAACAACAGAGGCCTCAGGCCGCTCAACCGCGATCTGTACCCCCAGCAAACACGCAATTATCCACCATAGGTGTTGACGTGCCGCCGCAAGTACTGCAGGTTTGTATTTTTGTGTAGAGCGCCGGCTAGTCGCTGCGTTTTTTTTTTTCTCTAACCATACCCGTGTGGTGTGCATATTTATAATTTTATATTAAAATTTCTCTGCGAAGCGAAAAAAAATAACGAAAAAATGTCGCCATACGGCTAAGTAGACGTAGATTCTTTTACGTCCTAAAGGCGCGCTAAACTAGTGTTTACGACTATACACGTGCACGCTTACGTACAGGCGGGTCTTGCATTTTTTAATAACCGCTCGGAGTTGTGCAAAAAAGGCATTTGAACTACGACACCCTAACTTCCAGGAAGCAACATACGCGTTTACACATGACACTATCTGAGTTTGTAAGCTTCTCAAGATTCGAGAGCTTTTTCGTCGCTATAGGCTGTCTGCGACTAACTTGAATAAAAATGGTGGCTGATGATCATTTAATCTTGAGAAAGTAGTATAAGATAATTTTTTTTGAAATTTCAATGTATACAAATATACTTACAGACTTTTTGTTTTGATTTAGAATAAATATAAGTAAAACGAAAAGAGTTTTCTATAAAAATAAAACCATTATTACCCTTTAAATATAGCCAGAAAAATGAAATTTCACTTTAAAAAATACTAGTAGCACACTGCAATTTAGGCTTAAATCTTTGTTTCAAAATGTTTTCATTGACTGATAGGTAATATTTACCTTGTATTGTAGGTTCGGACCCTTTTGGAAAATCCGACCCGTTATCACGTGGTCCAAAAACAGAAGAATCAAGTTCGACAGTACTTACACGAGTCATTCCGCGCTGCCGATATTAGCGGAATAGATACAAGTACAACTGGAACGACCAACAATAGTACCGATAACAGTAGCTGCGTAAGTTTAGACAGCAGCTTAGGGCTTGATCATCATCAGCAGTTGATAGTTCAAAGTGCTCCGCCACCTCCAGCTGGTTCTATAATTGCAAATATCCATCAACAATCGTCGTCTGTACCACCAGTTCGTCAACCTCACAATCAACATCAACATCAACATCATCATCATCATCACCATCATCTTCATCAACAACAACAGCATCAGCAACAGCATCGGCAACAAACCGGGTCAACGCATTATTCGATATCAGAAGCTCTAATTGGTACACCTGCGATTCATCAACAGGAACTACTTGGTTCAGATCCCAAGTTGGGCGCCATGTCTCCAAGTTTGAGCAGCGTGGCCACCAGCAATTCCGAGGTTAGTGCCATTTAAAATTTTTTAACCCTGTCCGTAAGAAATATCACCTCTTGCGTATCTTATCCTACAAGCCGTATATTTAGTGCACACAATGAAAGAAAAAAATGCTGCATCAAGCAGAATGATCAGCTTGCCTTTGAAATGTATGATTTCATGAGCCAAACTGATCATTCTGTTTGATGTAGTATTTTTTTTAGTGCACGATAGATCCTAGGAGATTTAATAGCAGTATTGAAAGTCAATCATACAAGTCGTATAGATCGATAAGAAATCTTGCACTGGGAGATACGCAATGGCCTAAACGAATTTTTATCGTCCACTGCCTTCACGATGAACTTTGAGATCTTTGCTGCTGCTGTAGCAAACTCATCGTTTTCAAGATTGTATTATTTTCTTTAAAATCCCTGATTTATAAGGATTCTCGGTAAAAGAAAATTAATCGATCTCCAGGTATCGCGTCCAATTTATACTTAGCGAGAAATGATTCTTCATTCGAATCCGGATGCATTTTGCATGCTTCCATCGACAGAGCTGTGCACGTTGCTCAATTTCAATAAACAATTATGTAAGTCGATGCTTAAAATCAGGTTCTTTTTTTCATTGCGTGATGGATATATACATCGATAATTTAAATTGCCCGAGTTTATTAATTAAGTGTCTTTCGCGCTGTTCATTATACCAGGTACAAGCCAAGTAACACCCATAATGCACACTCTTTAGCCTATTATGTATGGTAAAGAGGTAAATATTGATTTATAGTTGCATGTTTAAATTACGCACACCTGTACGACATGTAATATGCTTGTTTGCCATCGACAAACCTCGCATCATTTAAAGTCTATTTTCATGTCTGGCATCTGTATTACGCTTGTCGCACATCCTTTGACTTTTGCTAAATCTTATGCGCATGCGTGTTATGTTTAAAATTTTGGATATTTGCTCTTTAATCCAATTCAAACGCTCCATCGAATATGTGTATGCTCTTGCACAGACATAACAAATTGCCAACGTCATATTATAACGTATACTCTACGTCCTTCAAAAAAGAGACGCGAGAGTTGCGCAACGTTGCCAATGCATTTCTATCTATGTGAGTATTCAGCCTCGATTGTCAAATTTGTACAATCAAAAATCTGTATATAAAAAATTATAAATCGAGTGAGATTTTCTGATATTATATCACATCAGATCAATTATGCACAGACATTTACCATTTTAAATATTATATTACATTGTGAGTGTTATAACTTTTTCTTTTCTTTACTAATTATTCCACCGGGAAAACATTACTTGTATACACGCAACTTTTTATTATCTTTAATTATCGTCCACTACTACTGCGTATATCTTTATACATGCCTGACATTGTAGATTTTTCAAAGCTGTGACTGATCGAATCTCCCGTTTCAATTTGCTACTAAAACTCGGCATCGTTTTCAGTGTGATTTGTTTAAATATCCGACTAGAGAGATTATTCCGATAGAAAAAAAGAGATAAATTCAGCACAAAAGTCATACGTCGCAACTATCGACTAAAAGTCATTCGTGTGCAACTACCTATTGTTGATAATTTTTTACTTCTTGTCCTCAACATAATTTTATCTTTCATAATTCAACAAGATAAATATAAAAGCCAAGTGTACGTCTCGCGGGTATATATAGCGGTCCCGCATTCAACCGCATTGTTCAAAACTTATCGGCTGACTGTGTAAGATACTTGCTTTAAATTCAATTGAAAAGTATATCGATTTATCGAGAAAAATGATCGAACAAAAAAATTAAGTTAAATTTAGCCTATAGAAAAGCCCGCATGACGCCATTTACACTACGCACACGAGCTTCATTTTTCCATTGCAATGTATGTACGCGAGCTCGCGTTCCGTTCAACTCGAGGCAACTCGGCCAATTGAATATTATATGTGTCTGACTTCAATTGAAAGCTCCGCGAAAGATGACAAGTGGGTCTTCTTCTTGCGTGAGAATTATTTGTCTTATGTGAAGTGAGCGTGCTATGTGCAGCGTGTTTAAGAAAGTTAGATGTTCATATACAGCGCTTTATTGACGTCACAGAGAACACGATGCAAATACGCACACATGTGCCTCGTTAAAAAAATTGACCCAGACTGAACACACATACATACTTTGCGTCGTTAGTAATTATGCGACTTTTATAAGCAAGTTTTGCTATTTCAAAGTCGCTTCATTATATTAGCCGTTCACGCCTGTGCATATAGTATAGGGTATATTATATGTATAAATATTGTGCGTGTCGTTTCATAATTATTGTAACGCTTACAATTTAGCTCTCAGGCGCGATGTAATCGAAATTTTTTCTCCTGTACCACAATGTAATTGCCAGCCATGTTTGCCTAAAAAAAGAATCGGAAACATTTATTTATACGTGTCGAAATTTTCATTAGTACAATACGCACGCGCTCGTCCTTTTTTCCTCCACTACACACGAAATTTACCTATTTGTAATACGAGTTATTACTCTTGCACACCCACGCAATATATACAGCGAGCGACTGCTGTTGCTGCAGCAGCTGCTGGTTAACAAGTTGGCACGAAAGTAATGTCGAGGAAAAACAAAAAAATTGAATTTCAAAATTAACATCGATGTTATACCTCGTTGTACCCACACACATACACACATAGCTGCTGCCTATATTGAAGGTTATTTTTTTTTCGCGTCAAACATTCGGCGCGTTAAATACAGCATGTATACCAACCTACAGCGTCTACGTATGTACACGAGCACATAAACGAGTAAACTCGCGATTGACCTTTTTTCTGTTCTATGTCACATATTGACTTTACAACTCGCTCATTAGTTAGTCCTTTTTTTGACTCGAAGAAGCGAGTTAGGAAAAAAAACGAGGTCGATATACAGAAAGCGTTAATTAAGCTTATAAATACATTTTCTCCCTGGCATATAAGAGATCAACACGTCGATGACAGATATGGACTACAGGAGATTGTGTAAATGTATTTGCGTAGCCACTGAAAAATAAAACATTTTACGATGTTTATTACCCCGTGGGTAACTCGTATGTACGATAAAATTCCACATTAATTTTACGAATCAAATTTTACAAACATCACAGTTTAGTGATAAATAATGCAAAACAACAATTTTTCGAATAAAAACACGTCAATATCTGTATACATATATACTCCCATACTCGAGTCAGACGCACTGGTAAATATTTTAACGTTCCCTGTGAGCACAACTTTAGGCGTAGACCGAATCAAAACGCACATCATAAATTGCAGAGGTAATTATCTAATTACCCATCGCAGCGACTGAGCTATATACACATACGTGCTCCTCTCTTTCTTTCCCATATAAGCTCAAATTTATTATCTTAATTATATCGAAGCACTCGCGAGGACTTTTTTTATCTATCGACTTGTAACAGAGATGTGTCGGCGTGTGCGAATAACGCAGTAATACAGGTTTCATGTTACATAATTACTTTATACCATCGTATATGGCATAAAATTCATTTCAATTATGGTGTAAAGTTCTGCAACACTGGCATAGAGCTTTGCCAAAAATTCGTACCGTCGAGAGTCAATGTTTTTTTCCAATAACTTTCTGCAATAATTAAATTCAGCCCAATACTCGCAACTCCCTCTATATTTCTCTTTTAGAAATCAACAGTGTCAATACAGTGATGCTACTATCTTGTTAACGGTAATCGGTTACAAGAGAGTGCAAACATTTCCTGCCTGCGTATATACGGGATGAGTAAGAGAGCTACTACGTACGCTACTGGATATGTTTATGTTTAACCCATCCATGTATCATCCAATAAAATAGTTTCTTTTCCTTCTTCGGTAGCCGGATATTATACAATGTAAATAATCATAACTCCGCTAAACAGTTTTAGTTTAATCGTGATTTTTACTCCATTCCTGAAAAATCATCATTATTACTTCTTTTATAATATAAAAATAAAATTATTTTAAAAAGTTGGGAAAAACCAAAATATGAATAGTTAACACCCTTAAGGGGACTTAAAATTGAAATTTTCAATACAATAGGAATACAAAGGAAATCGAAGAAAAATTCTTTTCTGAAAAGTTAATACAATTTTTTTTCAATTTAAAGTTTTCTTTGAAGTTTCATCGTCAAATAAATATTAAATAAAAAATAATAATAAAAGTTGAATTCAATTAGTTTCGGGTAGGCATAAACGAGTTATTAAGTCGGTAGCACTTATAAAAATATGGATGTATATATATGTACACAATATAATACATATCGTATAAAAGTATCTAACAAGTCTACCTCGTCCGACTTCATATATCGCGTTCCAAATTTCGTACTACTACGGATACTTTTTTAATGTATTTCGATAAAACTTTAAAAGCTTATATGAATATGATGCGTATACCACGACGACACGTACCAATTGCTTTTGGAGAACTTTTGTTTCCCTTAACAAATATATCTGGGTCAAATCACATCAACTAGTGAGGTAAAAAAATTAAATATAGGATTTACTTAGGATTAATTATTGCTCTCACAATATGAATGGACTTAGACAGCTCAAATCTTGGGGAATTTTCATTTTCCATGTATTTTTGATGATTACATACTTTCAAGGAGACCACTTCATCTGAAGATCACAGAAAATTTTTAACTAAAAAAAAAAAGATTTTTTAAATAGGTTATAAAATCCATGAAATTGAACGGAGCCTCGTAGACTTCAGGTACTACGAGACCCCGAAAACTTTGGTGAGGATCTGTGACCAGGAGCTGAAGTGATTCATTGTTATAAAAAAATATGAAAAGGCTCATGTTCAAATGCGAGGTGAAAGAGATGAAAAATAAAACGAGACCGAATTTTTATATATAAATACCGAATTGCGCTTCAAATTGTACGATGCACACGTGTATAAAATAAATTATACAGTCGCAAGAGCTTTTTTCACACTTTAAAGTATGTGCGATGCTTATCTTTTGAAAGATATTATATATATGCGGGCAGC